CCCCTTGGTTAAGCCACGACTTGACTAGCCTGCAGCAATGTATTGGGTCGTTGTCCTGTTAAAATATCGAGGCAAGTGGCAAATTATCGGCATATTCTCCAGATAAATCGTTACTCAGAATGTCTCTCTACATTTCGGCGTTCATAATACCTTGCATACCTTCATAATACCACCAGGGGACCTAAGCCCGATGCGGTGAAACAGCCCCAGACCATGATAGAAGCGCCACAATGTTGGTCTTCTTTGTGTATTCTGGAGTTAATTATTTGTTGGGAGGACGTCGTACATATAGTTTATCATCACTTCTAAAGACATTAAACTTGGATTTATCGATCCAAACAATCATATTTCAAAAATTGGCAAAAAAAAGGCACTTTTTAACATTCATGATGGACAGCAATGGTGTAGTTCTTGTGGCTTAAGTGTATGAGCCCCACTGTATGTATGTACATATGTATGTATGTATAATGTGGATGCAGCGAAACGTTACTATAATTTGAACACAGTTTTTTCACAAATTTAACTTTATATACAATTGATATTTTCTTTATTTACCACGCTCACAACATATACATACATATGTACTTACCTGATAATGGTAATCAAATCACAGCACTTAACGTCGCTTCGTTTTCGCACAATTTGACAATTGCAAATAGCAAATGCAAAGCGAACAAAGCAAAAAGTTCTGACGACGCAGGCGCAAAGGAGACGAAAAGAAAAAACAAAGTTCTCTGAATTACGCTCGGCGCGCCCGAGAAAGAAGGAAACAAAAGAGAAAACAAAGTGTTCGATTTCGCTGGCGTCATCGCTCACAGCTGGTACTGCAGGGAAGAGAAAAACGGAGCCTGCCTGATTGTATATGTACATATGTATATATGTACTAATCCAGAAAGCTCGGTTGCAATATGTTTGGTGTATAACCTGGCACATCTAGTATATACTGCATGGTTAGTGTCTACATATGTACATATATGCATTTTAGGTTAGGTTAGGTTAGGTTGAGGCGGCTGCCGAGCTCGCTCGGAACCCGTATATGCATTTTACCAATGACCAATATTCTAGCTGTTTCCATGACGTACCGAACATTGCAAATCTCTTTCTCTCTCTATCCAGCAACGAACCGCCTTCCAGAAAGCAAAAGGAAGCGTGTCCGACCCCATAAATATAGAAAATTATGATCAACTTTAATAGAAAAGTCGATAGAGCCAAGTCTGTCTGTCCATCTGTCCCGATGAGCGCCTAGACGTCAGAGACTATAAGAGCTAGAGCAAACAAATTCTGTTTACAGACTCCTGTGATATCTCACCGTTTTAAGTCTACATATATCAAAATTTGTTGGATTAGGTGTCGCAGTGCTCCGATACATTGGCTTAAAATAACAATATATACATATCTCAAACGAAAGTTTTCGATCATTATTTAGGATTTTTACTACCACTAACGCAAGCCCTCATGGGAAGTACAAAGCATCTGTAGCATAGTGCAGTAATTTTCATAGGATACAATTGTTTACTGAATGTCTGAACATGAATTTTGTAAGTTCTTTTGTGGCAGTGTATCTCCTGGTATGTGTATGTGTGTAGCAGCAAAAATGTCCAAGAAAATGCATTCAAATAGAACGAAAACTTTCCAGCATAGTTGCGGCGTTCATTTGTATGCATATTTAGTGTTCGTGTATGTGTATTAATGTGTGCGTGGAGACAGTGGATCCGTACACATATGCATAGTGTGTGTGTAGGTGGTGTGCGTTGATCTCTGTAGGCGTAGATCCTCCACATCTTTAGCGGAACAGATTTGCGTAGGCAGCTTAGTCCTCCTCGCTGCTAGTATCGGGAGGCAAGCGATTGGATGGCCGAGTGACACGGACGAGCAGATGACGTATTGGCAGTCTGGAGCGCGCAGCCTCTCCTAAAGAGAGACGGGAGAAGCGATCGGCAATGTCGGATGTTCCCGACTCCTCCCCTGCACTGGCAACGGCATCGCGAATGTTCGACGGCTCGCGATGCTGACGGCGAAAGTGCTGCGAAATTTTGAGCAAGCGGTCGGGTGGGGCCATGGGCACGGCCACGCACAGTGGACAGATGGCGTCGCTGCGGTCGTCGTTGTGCTGGGCAACCACATGCTTCACAAGTTCGTGGTACGAATGGCCCATGGTGCCGCAGATGGGGCAAGTGAAGCTATCGGCGTTCAGATAGGGAATTGGCTCCCCGGCAAAGTACAGCTTCTTAGCATCCTCGTCCAGCAGGCACTGCATTGGATGCTCCGACTTGTGCCGCCCACTCACCACCTTGGCGTCATAGCAGCTCTGACACAAATCAAAGTCGGCGCACTGCAGGCACTTGTAGCGGCAGCCAGTTATTCCGTTGCCCCAAAGGTCGCAGCCGTCACAAGTTGCGCTCGGTTGAGGCTCCATTATGATTCCAGTTGCTTAACCTTGTGTAGAGATGATGAGTCGACAAAAAGAATTACAATTTCTCCAAAGTACTTACCTTTTTTCGAGCTCGGATTTTGAAACTTGCAAATTTTACCAGAGAGAAATAAGTGGATGACGTTTCCAGGCGTCGATAATTATTGAGAGCAACTCTGTACCGATTGAAAATACATCGAAAAGAGTTGCCAGACTGTTCAAAATAAGGCGTTAAGCTATAATTTAATTTTAATTCAAGTTAAAGTCGATTTTGCAGTATTTCAAGCTTTATAATAAAAAACATAAATTTGTCGCCTTAGGAAAAGATTATTTTTATCGACAGGTTTCAAAATGCTTGTTCTTGATCATTTTTAACGATTTCTCTGATAAATTTTTTTTTTTTTTTGTTTTACATATTACAAATTCCGGTGTTTGAAATTGATTAAAACGGATTAGGCTATATCAAAATGTGAGTTCATAAATTAACGCTTAAATATGAAACAATACAAATCTAATATTTTGTACTTTCTGTGAGGTTTTCAAGTATAAACTTTGATCAAAACTGCCCCAAAGCTTAAAAAATTTTACATTTGAAAGCTTAATATTTTCCAGACGTAAAGCTTAAACTTTGAAGACAGATTGGCAGCTGTATCCAATATCTTTTCAGAATGGAAAAGAATGGAAACCAAAAAAATAATCATTTAAATTCAAATTATAATTCATTAAAAACTTTTCGACCAAATACTCCACTGAAATCACTATAAAACGAGGGGGAACGTTGTGAGTTGCTGCGGACACCGCAACTCTACAGTTATACCCGATACTAAGTCAGTATGGCTCTCCTCCGGCAGACGCCGCTAATATTGCACGACACGACAAAGAGTGCGTGCGAGAGAGACAGAAAATCAGTCTGAGCGTGACGTTGATTTTTTCCTTTTGGCTATAAAAATTATCTGATCTGATCCAGATTCAGCAATCTGATAGATATGGTCGTTATCTATGATACTGCGTTTTTAGTTTTCTCGAATCTGTAATATTGTGGATGCAACAGATTTTCGTCTTTTGTGGTGGCGGAAAAGGGTGGGGCGAAAATCTGAGATATATGTACGTTTTGTAGTGAGATCTAACAGGAGTGCGGATACCAATACGGATACGGACGGACAGACAGACATGGCTCAATCGACTCGGCTATTGATGCTGATCAAGAATATATATACTTTATGGGGTCGGAAACGATTCCTTCTGGACGTTGCACACATCCACTTTTACCACAAATCCAATATACCCCAATACTCATTTTGAGTATCGGGTATAAAAACTCAGCGCTCAATAAAATCAGCTCGTGCTGGAACACTCATGTATCGATCGCTCCAAGTGCCCAACAAGTTCAACGGATCACTTATCATCTCATCTCGGGACTTGGAAAAATGGCTAGCAGACTGGGGCATGCATGTGAACGAGCAAAAGTGCAAACCGACAAACTTGCCCACCGGTGTCTCTGAACAACATCAGCATTCCAAAAAAATAACCGAAGTAGCGTCCCTTGGTGTACATTTGCATAGACGGCTCACTTGGTGTAAACATATGGAATCAAAGAGAAATCTACTGAAACTTAAAACTAGAAATCTACATTGTCCTCGCCACTAAAACTGAAGTACAAAGTACTTTTGTACGGTACAGTTTTCAAGCCAATTATGACATACATATGTATGGCTCCGAACTAGGGGGAAAGCCTGACTGAATCAAAGATAATGAGCACTAGCACTGGGCATCATAGTACATACGGAGTGCAAATCTTCATAAGGACTTAAATGTCGAATTTATTAAGGATTATTTCGCCAAGGCGAAAGGAAAGTATCCAGTCAAGTTTTTTGAGCCATCCTAATAGATTTGCGCCGAGTCAATTGAGCCATGTCTGTCTGTCCGTCTATCCGTCCCTATGAGTGCCTAGTGCTCTGAGAGTATAAGAACTACAGCAGCGACATTTTGTATTGAGACTTCTGTGATATGTCACTGTTAGAAGTGTATTTCAAAACATCGCCAGGCCCCTTCCGCCCCCACAGTCCACAATTTTAAAGATACGAGAAACCCATAAACGCAGAATCGTAGGGAATATCTTCTAGACTGCAGAATCTGAACCATATCGTATCATTATTATAGCCAGAATAAAGAAAACAGTTTCATTCGATCTCGCTCTGTCTCTCTCTAACACACACGTTTCATGGTCGGCTTTGCCTATTGCTTTTGGAAATGCATTCAAAAGCTCCGAAAAAAAGCAAACACACTGCACCGGTTCAAGTGCGCCCATTGCTGAAAAGCTTCAAGCTTAAAAAGCTCGCCCAGATCGGCTCGTCTTTGCTTGATCGATCAAGAATGTTGTTTTTTCCTATCAGACAGCTAAGTGCAGAAATCTACCACACATTTTTAGCTTCGTTACTATGGCAGCTACATATGTATGTATCTATGTATGTACAAGATTTTCGCCAAGTTTTGGTGGGTTATGCACAGACACGTACATAATTACACAAATGAGAACTTTTGAGCTGATTATCTAAAAAAATAACAAATTTCAGTTAATTTCAGGCAACCATTAATCATTAAAATAAGATATAATTGAATTAACGTGTAACTTCGACAAAATTACGTTCTGCGAAGTAAGGCGGGGTGATGGGATATAGGAAGTCCCATTCATCAAAGAAAATTTGGTAGTGGTAATTATCATGCCTATAATCGCGTTTCTGCTTCACGACAGCTAGGATCCTGCGGACACATCCTTTCATGTTGCCCCTGAGACGCCAAAGACAGGTGTGGACCGTATCCTGCGTGGCCTCTAACCCCATTGCTCGCTTTTCACTGTCTATTATAGCAAAATTGTAGCCGAATTTTACACCGGTCGGGGAGCCGCGCACCGGCACACCCAAGGCGCAGATTAGCTGCATCGCTGGCCCATTAGCCGCGAGCATTTCCTCGCTGGCGAGAATGCGCACATTGACGCCTCGATTATGTGCAGCCAACATGCGGTCAAGGTACTGGACATTGGCGGTGGAGAGCAGCACCACGTCCAGGCATATTTTTGCCTGGTCAATCAATTCACCCACACGTTTCAACCGGCAGTCGTCGCACACGACCGTGCGGCCATTGTGCCAACCATTAAATAAGACCACGTGACCGGTATCCGGCGTTCCGTAGATAATCTGCCACACATAGAGATCGATCTTGTAGAGGTAGGGACGCAGACTCTTACTGGGCGAGGAGGCAGTGCAGTGGTACATAAACCTGTGGAGGATGCCGTATGTCATTTGAAAGTATTTTCTTTATCTACTTAAGAACTCACCAAATACGGAAATAACCGAACAATTTTGAAAGCAGGTTTACCAGGGCACTATAGCATAATCCCATCAGGCTGCAGACGCTTATAATAATTTCGGGCATCATGTCAGTAGACCAAGAGGATCTTCATTCATCTACTGATTAACTTGCCAAAACAGAAATAGGTAAGACAAATTTCAAGCCAAGGAAAACAATCGGATATTTGTGAGCAAGCTTCCTACGAAGTTGAAATATGGAACTAGAATGGAATATGCACATGACATATACGACTATGGGCTCATGACTGAATCAATGTGACGTTTTTTACTGCTGGCTCCTTCGCATAACGAATCTGGGAGATGCTTTAACAAAGGAAACATCTAAATATAATGTCGGCTGACTTACTATCATCTTAAACCGTTGAGTAACAAAACAAAAAAAATGTGCAACGGCTTAGAAAAGTGAAGCTTTCGGCATACGAGTGTGTACATTTGAACCGTGTTCAAGAAGGTATAAGAAGGTAAGAAGAAAAATGGTTTTTAGATTTGTGTAGAATCAAGATAGATTAAACATTGAATATTAAACGTCCTTTATCGAAAATACTTACGAAAATAAGTACCAGTTTATTTATTTCATCGTTAAGACCAGCAGCTGCAGAATGTGTGGTGAATCCGGGGCCATCCGAACCGTGGAGCATTTCATCTGAAACTGTCCGGCTCTCTCACGGGAATGGATAAAATACTTAAGCATGACTTTCAAAACCTATACAGACACACTCTCGACGGTGTTATACCCCATCCGCATCTTCCTTTTCAATTAACAAGCGGCGATCGCTTCTGGACGCACAACCATTACGAGTATACAGAGCATTTCCGTTCACCAATCCCATTTAATAAATATTCGGACATTAACGTAAACTCATCGACATCAATTCTGGCCAAGACCCCAAGAGCCGAACAACCGCTCACCCCCTCTGCGCATCCTCCAACGTTCCACCAACGTCCCACGAATTTGCGCAGCGCTAATGACAAAAACAATAAATTTTCAGTCAACACAGATACATACTTGCGCACATACCCATATGGACAGATAGCTTGACCTTTCCCGTAGCACTCCTCCTGGCTATTGGTATGGTTGATATCCTTCGATCTTTCCATTTTGGTATGACGTATTTGTATACCCTCGCAGGCTGGCTATGATTTATCGGACAGTATCAAATGACGCATTGATATAGATATACAATAAATACATGTCCGTCAATCGTTTTCTATGAGTCGAGTTTTATTCATTATTATTTTATTCGTATCATTATTATGGCCAGGATGAAGATAACAGTTTCATTCGTTCTCGCTCTCTCTCTCTCTTATAAACACGTTTCATGGCGGCTTTGCCGATTGCTACAAGGGAGTGCCTAGATCTCAGAGACTTTAAAAGCTAGGGCAACCAAATTTCGTACCCACACTCCTGTGGTATTGAACCTGCCCTCGCAAAGGACGAAAATCTGTGGCATCCTCAGATCTCAGAGACTATTTAAACTAGAACAATCAAATTTGGTACCCGCCTTTCTGTTAGATTTCACTGTTAGAAGTGTATTTCAGAATTTCGCACCACCTCTTTCCGCACCCACAAAAAACGAAAATCTGTGGCATCCACAATTTTGAAGATACGGAAAATTAAAAACCCACAATCATAAAGAATGACCATATTTACCAGATTTCCGAATCTGGATCTGAATCGGATAATTTTAATAGCCAAACGGAACAAATCAATTTGCAATGTAGAGTTGCGGTCGCAGCAGCAACTCACAACGTTCCCCTTCGTTCTACTTGTCTGTAGTCTGTAAGAGAGAAGATTCGAAATGCTTTTTTTGTATTGCAGAGTGCACTGCTCTTTAAGTGTATTGAAGTACTACCAGAAGTTAATTTGAAATGTTTGCAGCAAAACATCAAACAAGAATGCATGGGGATAATCTCATCCCATCTAAGTGACTAAATATATGATATACACATAATTCGCCAACCGATCGATCGGATGTCGGATGTAGATAAGTACATATATACGTATTGTACATACATATATCTAATAGATGGGCTGCCCAAGCATTATAACTCAAGAGCCTGTTTTTAATTATTTCAACTGCCTACCAATTAAATTAGCATAATATTAATCGAGTATATTTGCAATTCATACGATTCGAGGCATCTGTGTGTGTGTGTTCTCGTGTCCAGTCGAATGCCCCCTGTGTGGGCATCGTACATGTGAGTACGCGTATGTGTCTGCATCCACATATATTCGTACGTATGTCTGTATGTACATATGTGTGTGTGTGTGTATGTATGTAGAACTGTCCATAAACAACGCATCACAATGAGTTATCCTTACGCTCATTACATTTGGATTAACATGTTAATAATTCGAACAGACCCTCCCCCTTCCCACCAGACCCCCCCTCGGTAAGTGTGTGGGGAAAGGGGTTGAGAGTAGATTGGGAGTGGTTCTGCATACCACACTCGTACGCTCGAGCATATGCGGGCAGCTGCTCATCCCAGACCGCCTCCTGAGTCAATAATTTAACAAATGCATGCGGCGAGTGGGGGCCACTGAGACAGAGTGGGCACTCATGTAGTCATATAGAAGACGAGGCCGGCAGGGAGATGGATGGGACAAATCGATGTTTGGCCATTGATAGTTGGAGTGTTATAATTGTATGTTTGACAGTCTTCATAACTGTCAATTAGATTGCCATATTGCTGTGGTATGGCAGGTCAGGCCAGGTCCCTCTCCACATCACCCCCAACATTTCTATCGTTGCCTAATGTAATTGTTTAACACACTGCTGGGCATTATTATAAACAAAATACCTGGACAGACATGGCCAGAGAGTCATACGGATGGATGTGGATGTCCAGACAGAGGCATTGGGACATCGACAAGGATCTGCTTGAGGACCGAGGCCGACGCCGATGTCGACGCCGACTGCAGCATGATTGCCTTGATTTTATTGACTGCATTGCGATTGTGGTTCTTCCTTCAACTACGAGTATCTGCCTCTGTCTCTGTCTCTTTCCGCCTCTGTATCCTATTTCCTCTGGCCTATTTGCATACTCCCCCCCCCCAATGGGCCTCCGATTTTGATTTATAGAAGCAAATTGTGTTTCGGCCTTTTTGATGGGGTGGCACAGTGGCTGGTGCCTAATATGATGTGAACTTTGCAGCTCACTTAATCCAAGTAGTTCCAGAGAATCTCTAAATATCTATGTATATAATTCAAAGGTTGAAACATCTTTTGAGTTAATAAGCTAAAAACTTCCTGTTGGAGCAAGTGCCGTTGCTTTCAGAAACAGCCTATCGCAGCTTTAAGCGATTCCTTAGACTATTTTGGCGAGTTAGAGCACCAAACAGGTGAGTAGAGTTTTGCTCGGGGAAAACTGCATAGTTAAAAAGAGACAACGAAGTGTCGGAATCCTGCGTCTGTCGTTCATTAATGTCGCATCCTTGGCGATGTCGGCGTTGATTTCTAGAGCACAAGCGACGGGGACAGCAACAGAAATAGGGACAGTGGAGCATTTGAGAGGCAGATCGTCTCTCCGCTGGCAAAGCTGCTCGCCGAAACTGAAAGAAAACAAAAAAAAAAAAAAAACCAGGGAAAACTGACAAAAGGATGAAAATAAACAAAAAACTGAATTCTCAAAGCGACGGAGACAGAGGCTGGCTGGGTCTGCACTAGGGCTGGGCTAGGGCTATGGCCAAATCAAAAGCATAATGCATAATTACAACAATGGAACAGGACAGGACACCGGCAAGGACGAGGGTCATCCAGATGAAGCGTGGCCAGAGCTGTGCCGGATCCCTCCCTGTTTCAGGGTCCTTATCAGGACATCCGCTTTCAGCGATTTTTAATTGCTATTGTTACAGTTTATTGTTTTATTATAAAGGACAAGTGAATGAATAGCCAAAGACTGAGCTGGGCCAAGAGGAAATCAGAACAGAATAGCAACGAGACCAGTACCCAGTACTCGTAGAGTGAGAGAGGGGGAGGAGGGGTGGGCTAGGGGTAGGGGAGGAAGTAAAAAAGATTGAGACAAAAGCTTTTCACGCGAAATTTTCATTTAATTTATTTTGTCGTTTTAGCGAGAGCTTTAGGTTTCTTTTCTCGGCGATTTCAATTTCATTTTTAAACAAATAAGCGAACAATTAGCTGCGGAGATGCCATACTGCTAATTGAAATAAGTCCCAGATAAATTATGCACATCATCAAATGGATATCTCTATAATGGTATATTCTTTTTTGTTTTGGTGGAACGAATAATTCCTTTAACTGGAATGATCAGTCTCCAAGCTCAAAGGAATTTAGTTTTCCAAATCTATTAAATACATTGTTCATTCAAGCTTCGCCAATTTGATGTTCCATTTCTTGATTAATTTAAGTTTATTCTGGGACTGCTTCTTATTCAATAAAAGTCCGATTAAAGGTATAAAACTCCTTTTGATGACCTGATCTCTTTCCCACATTTTCTTCCATATCGTAGGTATATCTTATATTATTGCTTTGCACAAAGATAACTGCATTAAGCCGAAAAAGTTTAAATATCAAAAGCTTCCTATGGATTTGAACAGTTTTGTGTTTCCACTGGTTCGGGCTCATAGGCTTCTATACCTAAATGAGCCTCCGGAATGGCTTACCCCAATTGTATATTTTGCATTATTACGACCCTCTTCCGGCCCAGGACACAGTTGGATACTGCAAACTCTTTCGAATCCTTCAGATGACAAAAACATCAAATTAATATGCACTTTTCCAGCACTTGATATGTGCATGTGTGTGCGTGTGTGGGTGAGTATCTGTGTGAAGTGGAAGAGCTCGACCAGCGACTGGCCTGCGCATATCCTTTCTGGAAAATATTCGTTCTAGATGCAGCGGAGAGAATGCAAAAAATGGAAGAGAAAAAAGAATTTGTATACAAATATGGTGAACAAATATAGTTGAAATGAAACAGCAAAGTGCACTCGACAGAGGATTGGAGTGGAGTGGAGTGATGTGGATAGGAGAGGAGAGTGGTGTGGAGTGGAGTGGAGTGAAGTAGAGGGGGAAGAACAGAGCTCCACAAGAGCCAAAAAACATAAGCATAAGTGCCTCCACAGCTTCCTCTGTTCTGTTCCCTCTACTGTTCTGTTTTGCTCTCCCTGATGCAAAGACCAGGATGAGGACGATGGCACTACAATAATCATAAAAGTGCAAAAGAACAACAGGAACAACACCGTATGGCAGTCCAACCAGTTTTACCATACAAACATATGTGCCTGGCCTTCGGTTCTACATCTGCATCAAGGCCCAACCGGAAATAATGTATTAATCCTGTTGAGCCCATATTTTTTATTGGCATCCGCAGGAGCAAGAGCAGCAGCATCGGCATCGGCTCTCGTGGAATGCTACTTCTTGAGGGGAACCCTGCTCTCCTGGTTCTGTGGTGCGTAATTTGCATTAGCAATCGCTGTCAGCCATTCCCATTACTTATGTAGTCCTCAACCCCCTGGACAGGTGATAAACCACATTCTTATAATAACACCATAAAAGAGCACACAAAAAGTAGCCGGAACATGCGAATACTCGTTCAGAAATGTATATAAATATGTACTGTATGTATTACAACCTACAGGACAATTTAAAGCCTTTAATAAATATTACTGCCTCAACGGCGGCAACGCGCCGTGTAATTATTATTACGCATACGCCCTATTGCCCGCCCAAAATGTAGTCCCCATTACCAGCGCACAGTAGTCCACGATAGCAGAAAAACTGGAACAAAAATGGTTATATTATTACTAATTATTGATTAATTATTAATAATAATTATTAAAAGATATTATTATTTCAACAAAACTATTTATAATAATTTAAAATAACACGAAATCACACTCATGCAACTTTTTGTACATTAAGATACAAGAATTTTTTTTTATTCTTTCATAAAAGTCACAAACATTTTTTTATGACAAATGAAATACAACTTTCTTGAGTTTTGAGGATACAATAAGTTCTTCATGGAATTCTCATCATAATTCTTCGGTGATATTCGTTCTAATACGTTTTAGTCCACGGTTGACACGGGCTGACCAAAGCAGCAGGAATGGAGATCCTGAAAAAGAGCGATTGTGAGCCGGCAAAGCCTTGACGCTGGCGACAATTATGCGCATGTCGGCGGCTTAAGCAGCCATTAATCCTGTTTCCTTGTCCCCCCCTCTCCATTGGCCACCCCACACCACTCCCCTCCATACAAGCCACCGTCCTGGGACTTGCACTTCCATTGTTTCCGCTTACTTTTTCATAAATTTAAATACAAAACATATTAAGTTTTATAGCCCGGGAGGGTTAAGTTGTTCTTCCCGAACCCCACGAACTTGGATGGCCCCTTCCCAGCCTTCCCGGCCTGGCTGTATGCGCATATGCTTGAAACCCGGCGGAGAATTTACTAACACCAGCATGTGTAGACTCAAGAACTGCATTAGCAAGGGGGAGATTGTAAGAGGAAGCTGTTGCCGGGCCACGTTAAGTACTCGAAAGGCTGTCAAGGGAAAAAACGCTTAGCAAACAATATGAGCATCAGATGCTGAAAAAAAACCAAGCCGGGCCAAGATTGGTTAAATGAGAGGGAAATTTTGTATTAATATCCACGGTGTGGATGATGAAGCAATGTGGAGGGATCCGGAAGTTGTTAAGGTTCTCACAGTTTGTCAAGCTGAAATAATCTAGGCCTGTCTCTCTCTCTCTCTCTCTCCTCAGAGCTCTGTAGCTCGAATACTTGGCAGAGACAATACAATACCAAGATGTTGGAAAGGGGGGCTTTCAATTCTCTTTTCACCTATGCGATCCGACTCTGATCGCAGCCCCGCTGCCCACTCGGTTTCGGCTGCTCGTCAGTGCCTTGGGCAGCTGAGTCAATTCCAGAATCCAACAACAATTTACACAATTTTTTTCAAGGCGCAGGAAATACATATTTTTCAGTCAAAACAAACCAACAGCAAATACATTCTGTTTGGCGAGGCGCAAAAGTCTCGCCCAAGAAAAAAAAAGCCGTGAGACCTGTCACCAAAATTTTCGGCTATTGAGGTGACCCCGTCGTTTTACCGTCAGCGATAAAATATCTGGATATCAGCTATTACACTATATGTACACATGTATATATATACCGCAGTTGCGTGATGAATTTAGGTATTTAGATGTATTTAGGGATAATATTGCTTCACTGCTCTGTTCCTTCAGCTTTCATTTTCTGCATTTCTGTAAATATGTATTGCATTTATCCATCGGTCAGCGCCTTCCGCCAAGTTAGATTAGCTCATCGTCCTGCTTTTCTACAGAGACGGAAAAGGAAATGAAAAGTAAAATGGTCCCAGTTTGTGTTTGGCATAAATGAAGTTTACTAAAATTCAATTTATTATGCTAAAAATACAAAAAAAAGAGGGAATATCATCGTCGTTTCACAGAAACCATATATGAACATATATGTATATATATGTATGTGCATATCGATGAAGCTATGTGCAGACGAGTGCTATACAGTCAAAAGCAAAATATTGCCATGCATAAATAACGTATAGAGGCAACCACATAGCGACATAAGCGCCTGTGTGTGTCACAAACAAGTTTATCCATTTCTATATCTATTTGTTTTATCTCTGTGGGGGAGCAGAGCCGCAGCAGGGACTGCGAATAGTGCAATTCTATATAGTAGTAAATGCAATATAAATATAATGCACCAAAAATATGCCAAACCCATAGAAAAACACATATAGAACCGAATGAAAATAAAATAGGGAGAGAAAGCCAGCCGAGAATGCAAAGGCCAGTGTGGATCCCATTTTTGAATTCGCTGCCGCGCCGTTTTGTTTGGCTTTCCGCGCCCACTGTCATTGATTTACTATCCGTCCAAGTGCCATTCACCATATTCCCAAGCAACCCACCGAAACTGCAATCTCACCGGACCCCTATTTCTCCCCTCTCCGGTCAGCCATTAACTAAATTGATTTGTTTTCCAATAAAAATACATATAACCGAACCAAAAAACGGTACCATCCCCCAATAGAGCCACAAAAAATGTTTCAACATTAAAATTGATGAAGCCAAGGAAAACTACAGTGCGAGTGCCGGTGTGGGCCCTTTCAGATAAGAACGATATTGAAAGCCACTGCCCGAAGTATCCGTAAAAATCTAGCAATTTCGGTATCACTATTTTTTATTTGAACGGCTATATCAAAATATTGGCGGAGTTTCTATACTCGTACTAGTTGGTCCATTTGAAGCTCGGGCATACCAAGCACAGACACTTACACTGATACAATAACATAGTGGATCAGAATAGACTGGACATTTATTTGTATGGCCTAGGTTTCACTCAGAGAGCTGTCATATTAGCACCATTGGCTAATTGTCTATTGATTAATTAGTTAAAAAATTGAGTATTTTATTGTCTGTGCAGTCTTGATTTTCCACTTTTGATATTCCTTCCAGAATTTGCCAGAGAGCGAGGCAAGAAGCATTCAGCTCAGTGGCCCAAAGTGAGTAATTTCTTCTATAACGTTTCACTAACTTCCCATATGTATGAACATAAATAGAAAGAAATACTACCTATTGTCAAAGCTGTTTTGTTCAGCCTGTGCTTTTCCGCAATGGGTTATTTGTTTGGCGGAACCTTTTCGCATTCAATTAGTTTAATGTCGTGGACTGTACCCGCCGTGCCGCTAACCACCATCGCATTACACACCTATACCCCCAGCCCCCCCACTCTTGCACTTGCCTGTAAACACTTTACTAAAGAGTTCATTTCCGGTTGCCATTTCGCATTGCAAAAAGCGGAAATAAAGAATGGAGAGCGAAGACAGTCAGCAGTGCTGCAACAGAGGCAAGTAGTGTATATATGTATTTGTGTGTGTGTGTGTGTGTGTGTGTGTGTGTGTGTGTGTGTGTGTGGCATGCTTAGTTAGCTTTGCCCCTTGACCGCATAGTTGGCTCCCGGCTCCTGGCCATCCGGTTGTCTCCGGTTCGTTGGGGGCACAGAATATTTAAAAATTCCTTTGTGCATTTTTTGTTCATCTTCGTGTGCCTCATTTACGAGTGCTGCTGCATGAGAATCAGTCTGGCCTTTGCCGCATTTTCATTTAGTTTTCATTATGTTTTAAATTGCCGCACTTGGTGCGGTCACCCGAAGACTTCAACCCATCCGCTCCAGACTACACCATTTCAATTCCCATTCCTCGTCTCGCAGATGGCCAACGACATCTGGTTACAGCAGAAATCATAGCCAGCAGCTCATAAATTTGTTCCGATTTACTAAAAACCCTCAGTATACATATGTTAAGTGGAACCAAATATTAAGAAGAGGCAGCTGCCTATATATTATTTCGAAATACCGATATATTTAGAATTTATGATGTATGTAAATTATACAATATATTCCGGCACTCCGCGTGCCTTCTCAGTCTACTTTAGATATACAGTGATATGATTGTGCAGCGATATATTCCTTACACTTAGTTTTACTCCTTAGTGTATGAGAGAATAACCTGGAATTCCCCTAACTTACTCCCTATGTAACTTAAAGTGATCCATTTATTTTCGGATGAGACTTGAAGATTTTCGCCGAAAAGTTTTCCTTGATAGTTTCACCAATTGATAAGCAGTCCTCCTTATTTTTTTTTTTCCCCCGGAATTCGCACACTGACAGTGGAACAGACATACAGACAGATGGAGGCAACGTAGCGGAAAGTCATAAACAATTTTTATGTTTTCACATTTCAAGTGAAATTCATTTCGCGTTTTTCTTTCCTTCTTTCTTCGTCTCATTTTTGTTCTGCTATGGCTGCTGCGCTTTATGGATTTCCATTTCTTATTCCCTCTTACATGATGACCATGAATGTATACACTCACATACAAATATACACTATACACATATGTACATACAAAAAGGACACCTCAGTATATCAAAACAAAACAAAAAATGAAGAAAAGTTGTATGCTTTTGCCCGACAGGAAGAGGAATTTGAGCAAGATCCGGTCCGTGTCAGCTGGTCAGCTAATGACCGTGACTTATGAGATGGTACCCAGTCCAGGAACCTTCATGCAACTGCAACACTGCAGTTGCAGAATTCACGGAAAAATTGGCTTAATTAACAATTTACAATTTGCCACTTCTTCGCCCGCGTCGTCTTCGCCGTCATCCTTGTGGTGCAAGTGGCAGTGGCACTTAGAGTTTCGGAGCATAATTTTTTCTGCCCTCTTCCCCCCAAATTGATGCCCGTAATGAGCTTAAATGGCTCATGACACATATAACCCAGCCTGGAAGGAGGAAGGGGGAAATTATGCTGTAATTGAGCTCAAGGTGTCAGAGCCTAGAATGTGCCCATATCGTGACTCTGGCACCGGTACCGGCTTAAGCTCCTTCTCTGCTGCCATGTCCTTGGGTTCTGCTGGCGCGGGTTCTTTCCACCTCGCACCTTTATCGTCTTTCGTAATAGTACCCACCCTCCGTTTGCCTTTTTCTGGTTTTCCATTTACCATTTTTTAAATATTTTTTGGCGCTGATTCAGCCATTTTTTTGTGCATTTCTTTTTCGGAGAGCTTGGCAATGGCGTTAATTTTTAGAAAAATGCTCCCAAGATGTCCCAAGGAGGGGCAAGTGAACTAGCAGATGAAAGAGGGGACACGGATGGTGAATGTGAACGCGATGAAATGGGGAAATTGCAATGAGGTTGCAAGCTTTCTCACTGTTTATTTGAATCCGAATCAGCATCCGAGCTTTTCCCAGTGTGTTTCTCTGAGTGTATTTCCAGCTTCGTTGTGTCGTCTGGTTAGTCCTGGCCCTTTTCTGGCGATAAGACGCTTCTCTGTTCTGCTCCCCTAATTCTATGCTCCCCACCGACTTAACCTCAATTCCCTCACACACACATACACTTGTATTTCTGCCTAATTTGCAGACGTTTGAATGCTTTTCGTTGAAATTCGATTAAGAGCCGTCGAGGGTCGAGCTAGTCCCCAAGCCAGTTATGTTTGGAGGAAATGGAGAAAGATTCCTGAAAATCGATGGAAGTGGCTTTATGTACGTACATATTTCTAATGAAAGTTCATCTTCAGAATATTTCCTATAGATATGGTACTGTTTTTCCTTGAAAAGAAGCTCCCATTCATTTCATACACGCACACAGTCGCAAGGGCTCTCTACTGGGGCATGGAGAGTCCTCGACCAGTCCATATCATCCATCCATACCATCCATATCAGTGAGGCGTTAAAGCAGCTGGAGGGCAGAGAACCTGTGCACATTATTTCAATTTCATTTCGGAGCGGCCCCTTGCCAAAAATACGAGTATCCAGCTCAGCTCCGACGGTGGTGCCAACGCAACGCGCTGTTCGTTCCTTCATTTATCCGTGCATTCATTTCTCGTTGCTGTAATCAATTGCATGCGGCTATTTTTGGTGGAAACCAGCAACAGCAACAGCAACAGCAAAAAGGGACACTGAGGACAACGTTGAAGCCGACGTTGATGTCGCTACCAAAGCCCCTGACCATCTCCATCATCTCCACCTCCACATGAGCAGAGCACCAACCGCAGTGTGGACCTTATATGAAACATTCAGCGCGGCAAATTGAAATGAGCTGTAACAAACCGAATGACGAATTCCAGTGGAAGGAAGGGCCTCCAATGCCGAGGGAGAAGTCAAGCTGGATTGCACGAACAAGATGGGCGTCCGTAAACAATACATCCATCCCGAGCTATGTAGATGGGAGATTACTTATTAGACTATGTATGAGAATTTAAGAGAGTGAATTCTCTAAAAACACCCTCTCACAATTCCCTGTTATCAGGGTATTGAAAACAGCTAGATTATTTGCGCTTAGATGGAAAGATGGCACGAATCATTGTTTCTATGGATCATCCATTTTTGATTATTTGATTTATTTATTCTGATGAGCAATGGATTACGAAAGGCAAGTACGCACATGTTCTAGCATGCTTGGCGTTGCTAATAGTGTTCGCTGCCAAATAGTGGGCTTATCCAATGGCTGGAGGTGGAGGATGGGTGGCATGGGGGCATGGGGGCGCTGTGGCCCCGTAGCAGGGCCATAAAATAAATGAATCAATATCGCCTTTTGGGTGGGGCAATCGAAAAAATATGTTATTAATTTGCTCAGCCACTTAATGCTCATAATTAAAATGAGGCAAAGTGCGAATCAAAATGAGTGCGGGTGCCAGGGTGATGTTGGTAATGGCGTATCGTCGCACTCATATGCATACAAACATACATACATACGAGTATGTACGTATGGGTGGGTAAGTGAGTGCCACCATTTTAAGCGATTGCAATTCAAAGCAATTCAATTCAATGCGCAGCCAGAGCCATAAAATGCTCATCACGAAATGGCTGCCAAGACGACGAGCTTGTGCAGGAACAGAGGCTGGAGCAGTAGCAGGAGCAGGAGCAGGAACAGGAAATGGAGATGATGCCATAATGCTTTAATCGCTTAACGGAAGTCGTGCAAGTGTGTGCCCGTGTGTGCCAGTGTGTGCCAGTGTGTGCCTGTGTGTGCCTGTGTGTGCCTGCGTGTGCGTGTGCGTAGTCACACGTTCATTCGCCGCACATTTAACCCACACTCGCACCAGATGCCCGGCATGCCGTACAAATGTAATTAAGATCGATTATATGCCTTCCTGCAGTCGCAGCTTAAATCATTTAGAGAGCTACCCGCTACCCGCTCTAAAAATAATAAAGTGACATCCATATATCCACACATCCACAGCCACCCCGCCAGAGATTCGGTTTTTATTTTCTTCTGTGTGTGTGTGTGTGGGGGCTTTTTTTTTATTAACTGATAGGTTGTGTGCAGTCCTGGGAATTGACTGGCTGTGTGGGCAGCACAGTTTGAAAATTTGGGCCATACTTTTTTGTGGATCATTAACCGACGGGGAAACCGTGTTGAAGACACTGATGCCCTGACAAGGTTACCCACGAGGAAATCTGTTAAATATATACACGATTTGTAAGCTAAGAGATTCTTATAGACAAGAGAAGATTATTTAATCAATGGAGACAGAGAATGATAAAGGTACTTTTCATGAGATCCGATGACATCCTTGACTGAATAATGACTCCGCATGGATCAGGACAGTTCCAATGCTCGCATTCTGGTGGCCAAATGGTTGATGTCCGCTCTGTTTTAGAGTATAAGAACTGTTAGGTCTAGGCATTGGCCGCGATTTGCTGAGAAGGTCCCCTCTGAGAGAGCTGCGGCCTGGAGTCTGAGTCTGGCAATGGTTTGGGGTTGGATTCGGGCTCGGTCTGGGGCTTGGGCTCGGGCTCGGGGTATGGGTTTTTGTTTTGTGGATGGGGAAACGTAACGACCATCATTTGTTGCAAAATGATGTATAATTTAATACCCGCAAACCCAACTCCCAAATGGCAGTGGCTCTGCCCCCCTTCCCATTCTTGTTGGTTGTGACCTCCAAAACAAACCAAAGCCAGGCGAAGTCAACATTGTACTTCACTTCACTTCACTCCCATTCCATCTTCTTCTGGTCCTGCTGCTGCTCCTTCGCCTTCCCTTACTCTGGGCTCATCCACATCCGGGACCAGGACCGGGACAGAAACCCGGCCACGGACCACTAACGCGTCCCCAATGGGCAGCCAACAAAAACCGAGCACATGTGTGTATAAAAAATCCAACGAAACCCCCATCCAAAACGCAACAAGAGATGGGAGCTCTGAGTACTCGTGCATTTAGTAGGAAGCCGGCACCGCTTTTTGTTTGCCTGTCGCTGGAGGGGGCCTGGGACAGGGTGGAGGCAGAGGCAAAGGCAAAGTCAGGGCCAATCGGAGTGTGGGGAGGGGATTCTGGGGCTGCTGGGGCTGCTGGGGCTGCAGGGGCCTCGCCCGGCGGTTGTTTAACTCGAGTGCTGCACATAATTCATGTGTCCACTTGCAATTTTTCGTTTGCTGCGACATTGTTATGCTGGCCATGTTGTAAAAACACCAAAAACAAAAGAGCCAAAAGAGCCGAAAGAAGAGGAGGAGAACAGAACATCCAGCATCGGGAAACGTGTGCGAGCGACTTTATATGCCATTATTAGAGTGTTAGAGAGTGACTGACTCGGGGACTCCCGACTCCAGGACTCCAGGACTCCAGGACTCGCCTCGCTGAATGAGTGGGACGGCGTAGTGTGAGGATTGTACGTATGTGTCACACACAAAATAGATTACTCAGTGTCGCGGCACTCTATCACGGAGAGATCGAGCCGGGAGCGGGCTGCTGGTTGCTGGGAGAGGTGTCGCTATCCGGACAACGTCGGCTTGATGGGAATGCTAAGTGAATCAATTTTTTGGAAAGCAAACTGCCACTTGGAGTGGCGAGCATCGGATCAAGGCAGAGCAAATAATCATGAAATCATTCGGAATTTTTTTTCGTATTTACCTCGTTTCTACTTATGATCCTCAGAGGTTTTAAATCTTTTTTTAACATTAGGATCATATCTGGCAATAGATATTGATGTCACACTAGTAATACCATTTCAATTGACTTGCGGAACTCTGTAACCGAAGACGATCAACTGAAGATGGCGGAAATGGAACGGAAACGGCCGGAACTGCCTCAACTGTTGCTAAAAGTTCTGTTGGATGACATTCAACACGCTCATATTTACTTACTATATTTCTGGAATGTCTTTGCTTTTTCCCACTCTTCTGTTCCACATCAAATTGCAATATATGGCGAACTAATGAAGTCGCAGCTCAGGCCTTCGATGATGGCACACATCGAGTTGATTCTACATGTGGGCGAGTGGGTGCGGTGCCCATCAAACATTCAAGTGACAGTTAAATGCATTTTCACATATGTCACCAATCGCTGGATGCCACCGGGGCCGACCCCACTTTCTATCAGGCCCACCGCCCTTAGCGGCATAATTTATGGCTGGACATTTATGGCTTTATGGCCGGCGTTTGTCAGACCTGCTGAACTCCAGAGTTTAACATTCTTTAAACATTCATTTTTGTAGTGCGAACAGTTTGTTTATACTAGAGGAGACCCCAGACCCGAGTGGCTTAAACTTTGCCGATAGTAGAGGAAGGAAAATGCAAAGTGGAAAATGGAACACAGCTGATTAGCCCCAAGGCTCTGAATCATTAGTAACTGCTACAGGACGAGCCCTGTCGCTTACTTATTCTTCACTTTGCTGGCAATTATCTAGTCAATCAATTGATAAATGGAACTCTTACCAAGTCCCCTGTCCGCTGTCCCGTGACCGCGTCCCCAATGACTCCACAGAGAGCAACAGTGACTGACTGAACGGATGAGTCGCACGAAAAGTCCGAGAAGACAAGGGAAAACTCGACCCAGAAAAAAGTCTCTATTAGGGGGAGGGATGGCATGGGACTTTGCTTAGTCGTCACTTGACAACGACATTAGGCGACACCCTTCAATGGTTTTGAAGACGGTTCCTTTCGACCCTTTGAATCGGCTCACCCTTTTTATGTGCCAAATTATCGTTTCAGCTTGTTGGGCCCCATATACATATATCTCTTCTGTTGCCTCATTTGCTTGATTAATTGCCGCGATATCTGTGTATGTACTACGAGCATGAGTGTGGCATGTGCCAGCCATTCCCACCAGCTTTTCCCCAGTCGTCTGCATAGGATTTTGCAAATGAATATTGACAGTCGTAATAAATTTCCACAGCATTTGAAATTTAACATTTGCATTAAATGTGATGTCACTCGATGGTTGTCAAACGTATGCGAAAATTGAAAATTTCCCCAACGCCGATGTATCTGGCCGTGTTTCAGACCCTTCCTGTCTTCCCCTCCTCCCCTCCTCCCCAGCCCCCGCCACCATCGGTCGCTGTCACTGAATTGCCTGCTGCCTGCCCATAAAGGCGCATCGAACTGGAAAATTATTTGGTCATTATGTCAATTTAGGGAAAACGAAGTGGACGTAGTGAGTGAAATTGGTTGCCACCCGTCGAACCAAACGCAAGTCGACACAAAACAAAACAGCAGGCATCAAATCGAGAAAAATACAGCCAAACGCAATGGAAATAAATAAATAAAAGTGACCACCAATGCATTATAAAATTAATTAAATTTACACTATCTCACCTCCCTCCCCCCCATCCCGATCATACGGATTACAAAAGAGTGAATTGGCGAATGGACTAGAATTTCACGTCAGTGTGTTCAGCGGTAGATATCGTATGGGCTAGAAGGAGTCAGTGCGCTAAACATGGATATGTAGTTAGGTGGGAGAATAGCAACTACTTATAGAGGCGATAGCTTGAAAGAATCTGACAGTAGCAGTCCATCCAATAGAAGATGTTATCTACGTTAATTTCACGTTCAGATGATACACAATCTAGTATATAGTTTAAGTGTAGAAAAGACGGATAATCTTTTCCCTGTCCTGGTCCTGTTACCTGTTTTCCCTTTAATGCTGGATTGACGCCGTTTCCGGGTCTCCGTCGGCCTCCTAAGCTTGAGTCCGAAGCATCTTCAGTCCGTCCGTCACCCTTAGCTGGCATCCTCTCCATTTGCGTACATCCTGGGGGCATGCCGTTGGTTGCAGTGCTCTGGGCTTAAAAAGAAACCAAAAACACACATTTAAATTTTGCACATGGGAAATGTCGCCCGCCGAACCAATTTATGATATCCGCGAGAGTGGTAAAAAAAAAAGAAAAAAAAAAACAACGAATTCTGAGCGCCACACGACTGTGTAGTGGAGGGAAACGTTGACAGCAAATATGTAATAAAAACAATTGGGTAAAGGAAAATAAGTTCCAAGTCAGATAATTGCGAATTTCCAATGCGCTACAGTAAGTACGAGTATTTTTATCGATCGATTTCTATCCATTGGGAGAATCGACTTTAAACTGAATTCGTTTAATTAAATGTGAGTTCCCAGAGAGGTTAATCTGGTTCTTTGCTGTCAGGCAATAATAATACAATACGTATTGTACACGTGTATGTAAGTATGTGCATACATTCCCAAATTTCTCATCCCTTTCCATTTGCATTGTTGTTTTGCCTCGTCCAATTATTCATCGTTTCGTCAATGCCATACTTTCATTCAGATCATAATTCGATTTGCAGTATAGAATGCAAAGAAAAAATTGCTAGAGCGTAAAATATTCACATCGCAAGTCTGTATCCATTATGCTTTCGCTGGGCGAGTATTTATCTGCTTCAGTGTGCGGTGCTCACATGCACAAGGCATCGGGGGGCAAAAAATCGCATATAAATAAGTTTAAAATAAAATAAAGCAAAGCTTGTTGGCAATAATTTTAAAATTTATGTTTATTTACAATTACAGTTTATTTGCCAAATTCACACAGACAACAGAACACACACACGCACACGCACGCCCTAAAGTGGCGCCACAGGGAAGTATTTTTCTACCCCGAAAATACACTTTGATTCTGGATAATGGTCAAAATGTCAAATGAATTTAAATCATACACCGCCTCGAATTTGGAGTTATCCATCACTCTAAGAAAGCTGGTTACGACGTTTCGCAACACTACGATGAACTGAACCGAACGCTGTTCAGTAGAGAAGAACTAGTTCTTATTAAGAAAATGGAAGCTTATTATAATGGAATTTTGAATTATTAATTATTAAATTATTAAGAAATGGAAGCTTATCAAAAAAGTTTTGCATTTAGTGACGTTCGGTAAATAATTTCTGCTGTCTACTGTTGTGAGTCGTGTGTTGGTCGATCTTCGAGAAATCATATTTCGAAGTTCGCGGCATCGTGGTTCCCAAAAACGGAATCGATACTTTCGCAGTTGATTATATCGATGCTGACATCGACTTTTTCCAGCTGTGAACAGAGCACGCGCAAATGGTTCGATTCGAGTCGCAGTTGTATCAGTTTTAACAAAGTTTTGTCAGATTTATCCAACAACTGGTTTAAAGTGTATCACAATTGAGATTTCTTAGTTCAATGTGAACAAATATAGAACATCCCAAAGGAAAGAGTGAGTAGAAATAGCCAGACATAATTGAGACTTGTGCGTGCTTCTGTTCTAAGGTGTGTGCAGCCTTTTTCTTTTGGTATTCCGGTGGTAGGAGAATGTTCGATTTATTCACACTAACATAACAAATCCGATAATCTGAACTAATCCTGTCCATCCGATGGCTTAACATTTCAGATGTTGCGGAAGTGAAGGCTAAATTGAGCCCCAGTGGGCCAGTGGACTTGCCCCAAGAAGAAAATGGGTTCACCAAGCCAACCTAGGACGTCTCGTTGGAAGAGCGCATTTTCGAAAGCAACTCAACTGAATCTACAGGCGGAAACCAAAAGGATGACCAGTTGCCAGACAGTTTGTACGACAAATCAACTGAACCGCAAATTATTTTGGTGTTATTTTTGTTATCCAGGAGCCCAATTGAGATGCGAATGGTTTGAGCTGTGGTTGAGTACGGGAGAAGCCTACACGAAAGTAAGTTTACTATATCCATAACGAGGTATAAGCAGAGTATATAAGGAAATACATTCCACAACCTAATTTATTTTCCATTTAATTCTTCCAGTGGAAGGTCAATTGTTCTTGGAAGACCTCATCAGTTCGACATCGCTTTAAGATTTATTATCATATAAGTATGAACATACGACCTTTATTTCATAAGAATTTACTGGGCATACGGATGTGTCTTTATTCATTTTTCATTTATAAACTTTTCACTTTAATCTGGAAATCGATTGCAGTAATATTACAACCAACCATGTATCTATTAGAATAGTGAACAAAATGCTTTAAGCCCAGTGACCAGTAGGATGTATATTAATGGCCGATAGGACGGTGCGATGCACATTTTAAGAGTACTGCACACGTTCCGTGCTATTAATCAAATGAAAATAAAAAATATCTATGCACTGCCCAAAAACGTTATCACGAGGCCTAATAATTTGTATTAATAGTATTTGTAAATCAATTGCCATTGCGAACCATTTGCGAGCAATTATTTATTTATGGCCATAAATATTATCCTCTTTGAAATTTGCATTTGGATCCGCTCTCCCTCGACTGGTCTCCTCTGGCCGGCCTTAATCCAAAACCATGCATTCAAAATTGTTATTATTGAATTTTAATTAATTTAACAAATAATGGCTACAGCGGCACAAAAAGACAAACAAACGAGCTTGTGTCAAACTTGAGTAAGGAATTGCAAAATACTCTACAATTCCCAGAGAATCGCACAAAATCAAACAAATTCAAATACTCACTACTGAAATTCTATATTTTGTAACAAAAATTGGTCTTTAAATACTTATTGTACACGCATTTATTGAAGAAATAGCATTCTTAAATGTTTTTTTTGTTCTATCTTATTTATAAATTTGTATTTGTATAAATTTGCGGCTTTTGATTCTAAATACCTTTATACTTTTTTGATACCATCAAACAAACAGCAATTGAGGTTTGAATGCAATTTATTCTGTATTATTTCCCAAAAACAATTAGTAGAATTCCTAAAATATTAATTATCCAATATTCAAAAAAAATATATATATTGATTTAATTAAAAAATTTTGTAAGTTTGCCCATTTTGACGATGTGGAATGTTTTCTTGTGTATAGTTCGCATGCACCTACATATGTTCATTTTTATCTTTTACATACATACATATGATATTTTTTTCCAGCTTATTGGATAATAAGGAAGAAGGGAAGAATGCCTATATTCCTGCGGGACTGTCGGGTCGAGCGGGTCGTCAAGGCGACTAGGGATCTGAGGGATCTAAGGATTCCTCATCTCTCAATTTTCGCATGTACTTTCGTAATACATGCTAACAAGCTTCGTACCTGACCGATTAAAATGTTGACCTGTTTGACATTTAATCTTTTGGATGATCTTCGATGAAGCATAAGCCTGAATAGTTATTCCAGGGAAATATATAAATAAATAAATTGGCTTAATGCCTTGTAGGGTGTGCGAAAAGGAAACGAGCGGGAAAAAAGAACGAAAGGCGAATCAAAAAGAACTGTAATTGATATTTGCTGTATGCACACAGCGAAATGGAAACAGTAAATATTTATTACCATATGGCATATGGCCAGACATTTACTCATATGACTCTTTCCATTCTTTCGGAATACATACATTAATTAAAAGTGTTTGTTGTGTTTCCCATCTGAATATAATTGAAGAAGTTGCCAAAAGAAATCACACCCATTATATAAGCTATAGTTTTGTAAGGAACTTAAATACCAATACAGATAGGAAAGCTAAAAAATATTAAGTTTAGAGAAATAACTTGTCATTAATTTTCTTGTTATGCTACACATATTATTGTATTTAACAGAAACATATTTTTCAATTTTCCATTTCAATTTGAATAAGTATTAACTGGAAAATAATCAATTTATCTTTGCTTAATATTGTATCTTATCTGTTTTAATACTTGTCCTGCTTAAATATTTGTGTGTCAACTTTTATTTACAGCGAAATTCCCAACCACTTTTTAAGGGTTTATTGAATCCAAATACCTTTTGAGGATCCTCTCCAGTTCGAATCTGGAAAAAGTACAATTAACGACCGTTCCATAAAAAGTGGAAACAGAATTCCGGGAATTATTGCGCTCTGTTGATTTTTAACTGCTCTTCAATGGGAAAGATTGGTGGAGCGCCCTCCCCTCCCCTCAGCGCCCTGTCCTTCGTAACTATCTTCCGTTAGTACCCTTTGGTTTTTTACACCCATCGAGCGCTGATTTTTTCCTTGAAACATGAATAATGTTGAAATTTAATTATACATAATTCAAACACAATTCCAACGGTGAATCTGTTGGGCAATGCAACAACATTTCACTGAGGAGGAGGGAAGGAGGAGGAGGAGTGGATGTGGGATTCACAGTGTGGGTGAGAGGGTGTTAGAGGAAGTGGCAGCCACCACCTACCAGATACCACCCAGCACCTCCCTGTCTTCTGGACTTCACTTTTTGCGCATTTTCTCACACGCTCTAATTAGTTAAGCGAAGCGTGGGGGCATGGTCATAGCTGGGCGGACGGATGGGTGGTGGTTGAGCATGGAGCGGGTGATGAATAAGTAGTGATGAGAGATGGGGAGGGAGAATGGGGGACAAGCCCGTGCGGTGGTAGCGTACCAGCGGTTGCATCTTTTGTTAGAATCTGAGCGGTTTTCACGTTGCCACAGCAACAGCAACAGCAGTGCACTGTTTGGCGCTGGGCCGGGGCTGGGCTGGGGCTGGGACAGAGGAGCGTCATGGCAGTACAATTTTTATCCTATTTGCTTTTATTTCCACAATAATCGCAGCAACAACAGCAGCTGCAGCGCCAGCGGAAGAGTAACCGCCACTCGATTGCCTCGGCCCAAAAAAGACCGAACGATGGGCGGGAAAGAGATGGCGAAAGAGGCAGCCTGGTAGTCTGGTAGATGGGTGGGTGCTAAGGTACCTACCAGCTAGCAATATGCAGCTATATTTCAAAACTATAGCTAAAGCCACGAGTCCATATGGCAATTCTTTCCCCATTTCCCATTCGTGCCGCCCCACGCCATTGTGCAGCGGTAATTAAATTGCAGCTTTTCCCTTTGTTCGAGTCCACGGCTTTCACGCCCACACACCCTCATGTCCTGAACCCACCCGCACACTTTAAGCCCATAGAGCATACCAAAATTGTGTGAAGAGACAGCAGATATTGCACTGTGAAGATTATAGCATACACCGCTCGATCGTTCGCTATATGTATGGGGAGTATTCTTCTTGGCCCATAAAACTGTTTCCTGCGCGAGTAATGGGAATGCAAATAAATGGGGAAAATAAAATAGGAAAAGATGTACGAAAAGCAGATCGGAAATTGGTAAATTAATAACTGATTTACCGCATTCCTATGGCGGTATGGAAATGTGCAGGCGTGACGCCTCCGAAAACCCATTTTACCCACTGAACTATGGGAAGAAATTTGATTTTTTGCTTTGTAATTTATTCGAAATAGAATGATAGCAATTGCAAGCTTGGTTATTATTAAGTTGAATTTTTAAATTGAATTTTTAGTTTATTTTTTTTTTTTAATTTGTTTTTGCAAGTTTTGGTAGCGACTGTTTTTGGTCGCGACTGAAGTGCGAAATTTTCTTTCGACTTTCTGTCATTTTTGAGACACTCGTACTTAATTCATGACATCCGTCAACAAGTAAGCCAAAAGTATTTTCATGTGTGTGTACTTTCACTTGAGTCCTTCGTACGTATGCATAATGATGATGGAAATTATTTCATCTGGCTGGCCAGTTGTCTGGCAGTCCACTGTGGTAGCACTAGTTGAACCGATGTCATTCACTCGGTGGCTTGGCTTTCTCCGCAGTAGTGGCCGAATCAGTCAGCATTATTTCTCTGGCCGAGAGGAAGGGGGCTCTGAGTAGATTTTCAATGCATCATCAGCATGATAATTATCAGCACCACTCGTAATTCCCAAACGCTCCACGCCTTGGCACAGTGAGCCCTTCGGGCTCTATTTAAATCGCTTTGCGGTGGTGCAGTTGCCATCAGGGTTGGCCACACTGTGCACAGAAGCAGGAACAATAAAGAGTGCCACAAAAGCAGATGCTGCCAACATCTGAACAGTTCCAGACAATGCACCAGACGGACTTCGGGCCTTCGGACTGCAGCAAGACGGCTGCTGGCCTGAAAATGCATTCGGTAGGCAAAAGCCACCGCAGCAGCAGCTACTTGAAATGGCCGCAAGCTGTCGGCAGCAAGGTTTGCCCAGCAGAGCAAATGCCAACACACATACTCGTATGTACGAGTACATATGAATGTATTACTCGTGTGCATATATGTATACGAGCAGATACACACCCAGACTTGTACACTGTAAAAGGCAGGATGCACATTGACCAGCCAACTGAGTAGATCGGGTTGGAAGCCAACGAGTGTTAAGCATTTTAATTGCAGGCATTCATTTAGATATGGCTGGAACATTCGTTCCTGCTCTTTACCTTTCAACCTGCAAGCAGCATTGTCCACACACTCACGGCTTCCCTATACATACATAGACTCAAACGCCCACACAGGCAGCCCATTGCATAAGCAAAATTGCCCTGGCATTATAAATAAATAATGTTGGATGCATCGGAATCGCCCTTATACCCACCGAAAGATACACATACAATGGCAATTGCCATTTCATTAAAACACCTTGCTATTTATAATCTCACTGATGTTGCTCGACAATTCCTCCTCCATCTCTCTAATATTTCCAGACTATACTTCCTTCATACTTACATATATATCCTTACTTATATATGCTTACATATATCCTTAGCTCAGTGAAATATTAAGGGGGTTGAATTGCATTTTATCCGAGCCATCTCAAAACATTCAGCTCCAAAGCCTGACCCATGTACCTACAGAATTTGATAATAATAATGATATTAGAAAAAAATTGGGTAAATTGAGAAAATTGATTGTCAATTTTCATGCTCTTAAAATGTACTTTGCACGAAACAAAAATTAGCTTGTTGGCCGGGTTGAGTAGATCACATCTCCATACTTCGAATTTGCAGTAAACCCCTAAAACATTTACTGCATCTACTGCGCTGGTATCCATAAGAATTTATGGTTTGTAAAAAAAAAATATATGTCATTTGATTTGAATTTCAATTTTCTTCCGTACAATACCACCCAAAGTTAAAGTTTTCTACCATTTTTTATGTACCTTCGATTTGGACCATTTAATTTTGTAAATTTAATTTATACAGATATAAGTTTTGTTCCACTTTAAGATATTTCATGGTATTTAATATTTGTTCATGAAATAAAAAAGGAGCACACACACACCCACAATGGTTTCTCTATTGCGGATTTGCAGTTGCAACTTCTTCCGTCTATTACGGGCATTGCTGATGCTGCAGGCAGTAAAACTGCAGCAGTCATCATATTAAAATGCAATTATACAATGGCTTTTGTATGGCCACATCTCCCACTGCGGCTCGCCCTCGAAATGAAACCGCACCTGCCGCAACCCCTTTGAATTGCCTCGTTTCCGGGTCTTTCATTTTTGTCGCACTCGCGCATAATTTCTACCAATTTATACATATAGATATATATGCACACGCCTACTGCACGCCTACTGTCACGCCTACTGCCACGCCTCCCATAGAAGGTTGTGTATCTGTGTGTGCTTTGGCTCATAAACGATACGCATTCATTCATCTCTGTGGCACAGTGGGGCCTCTGGTAAAAACCATAACTACTGAACCAATAGAGATATTTTCATAAAATACATTGGAAAGAAAACATTTTGAGTCGAGTGAATGCACATGGTGCTCCGAAATTTGGACTTTGTTGTTTTTATATATTTTTTGAATCGATAAAGAACGTTTAATAGTCAGTATGATAATTTGATTTTGAATTTTTAATTTAATTCATAAAATGCATATTTTTAGTTTTTATTAATTCTGTAAAATACTCGTAAATATATGCATGTACGTATATATAACATATACATATGTATGCACATATATGTACGTGAAAATAGAGGTTTCTTGTAGTCCAGTTGTTGGTCAGTGATATTCAATTAAAATTTGATCCTGTGCCAAATTTTCCACTCAATCTCAACTCCAGTAATTTTTACCCGAAACAAAATTTGTTTATCATGATTAGTTTTTTAATTGTACATATGTCTTATATCCATATTTGGGGCAGTCTCTGACCCAATTTCCATATGTAATTCTCTTTGAATAATAGTTTCTTAATTTCTTGCCCTCTTTCTATACGATATTATAGTAGGCAGAAATTCCTCCATTATAATAAATCATGAATTGAATGATATAATAATTGTTCCTAAAATGTTCAAAAAAGATGGAAAATTACGCAGTATCTACTTGTAGATATTCTTGATCAGAATTTCGTGTTTGTTTATGGGCAAGGTAGCCTTCCAACTTGAAACAATTTAACCAACAAATATGTATAGGGCTTTCTGAACGCAAGAATTTTTTAAGTTGCGTCAAAGTTTATAGGCTCATATAATGTACATATGGTACCTAATGTATGGTATCTAATAAAAAAAAATAATCATTGTTTGCGGGAGATGTACCTTATGGGATCGGAAACGCTTCCGTCAGCCTAGTACATACGTCTGGCCGCTTATCAAAGCAAAGGGGAGTCGGGACCAACTTTGGTACTTCCCTCGACGGACCCCGCCCCTTTGTCCTTGGCTCGTCTTGTGGCGTTGCAAATTTGAGCGTGCAAATGTTAAGTTGTCCCCTCCCATGCCAGAAGCTTTTGGTAGAGAAACTTGGAGCGGCCCCGCCGCCTTTTGTGCCAACTTGACAAACTAAAAATGAAAAAAGTTTCTTCTATGCGGCGCCTTTTTCAATATCCTTTTCCCCACTCCATTGCGTCTGCTTTTTCCGCTCCCACTGTTTTACCACAAAAAGCATACAAAGACGAGGATAGAGATGGAGCGCGAGCGGGAGCGGGAGCACATGAAGAGTCATGACGTGTCCGTGGAGCCATGACGACGGCTCAACGTATCGATTGTGATTTTGGTCTGAAACTTGAGACCTCGCTTAGGCAGAGAATTTGTGTCCAAGGTGCATGAATTTGAGGGAAATACATTTTCTGGACTGAATGCGAAGCTATTGTTTTTATTTTTTAACATATTATGGGAACTATAGAAAAGGTGACCTGAATATTTGAAAAGCATTTGCATATTATTAACAGTTTAATTTCTAGTTTCAAATTGCAGCTCCTGATAAGTCTGTCTGCTAGTTACTGGTTCATCTGATGAGAATTCAAAGGACCATAGAATATAGCGGCATAGGTATGTATACTTCGACGACCACTCGACACACTCCACTATGATCGTTTGCCATCGGCTGCTTTCTCATCATTGTCTCTTGAAATTCTTTCGCTTCTTTCCGAGAGCCTGCACGCAATACTGCAACAGTTTTGATGGTGAAATCGCTCGGAGGGATTGCTGGGTCGCACTTTTTCCACGCTTGTTCTTCTGGGAAGTTTTGACAATGTATTCCTTGGATTCTTTCTTCTCTTTTTTTTTCCCTTGGCCACCGTTGGCATTATTCTGCTTACGCTTCATAGCAATACTCTTTATGGACACCTTGCACAGGTCTGCAGCCTGTTTCCCCATGATCTTCTGGTTTTTATTTGAATTATCGTTCTTCTCTTTAGTGTCCAGTACCACAGAGTTTGACAGCGTTGATGCCTGCCCTGTAGTTGAAGTGGGACCATCTCCTTGGGAGTAATGTACGCTTTGCTCCTTCCAGCAGGAAGGCAGTTTACCTGTATGCAGTCGAAAGCCATCCAACTGTTTATTCAATGGACGAATCGCCTTTTTGTGCGTTGGCGGATTCTTCACCACGCTTCCCAGTGTACCGTTCCTCACCGGATGAGTACTGAGCTGCAGTACTTCAGGAATGTTGGGCAGAAAAGAGCTTAGCGATTCCTGAATATTCTCTTTCCTGAGTTCGTGAAGCGCCTGTTCGAGGCCGAATTCGGTCAGCAAGTCCCTGTCACCTGTAAGTTTAGCCCTGGTTGGTGGCTCCCTGACCAAGTAGAACGGCTGCGACTGCTCGTTGTTGGGTCTATTGGGCCCAAAAATTGACGTCATCGTCGGCGAGGTTATATCTCGGCTGCAGGGGGCCGTTGATTTTGGTGAACTCTGCATTGAAAAGTAAAAAGACTTTGATGATAAAGGCCGGTGTATTTCCCAAAGCGAGGGTGGTCTTTAACTTTACCGTTGAATCAGTGATGTCCAAATTCGGATCAATGGACGCCATCAGAAAATGATTTCGACGAGCTTAATTTTATTTTGCTACAAAGAAAACCGAATGAAAAATTCTCACATAACCACAAAAAGACAGGGTGACCAGGTTCGCTAAGGACAATGTGACCGTACACTGCTGGTGCAGTATACTCTAGGGTAGGAAAGCGATCAAATATGTCATAAATTCGATATTAAAAGCACTAGCCATACAGTATATACTGTGTATATATACTGTAGCCCTTTAACACTGCCACAGCTGAAGGGGAAAGCCAAAAAAATGTGTAAATCAACATGAAAATGGAGGGAAGAGACTTTTTATACTTTTATATATTTATTATTTTCAGCCCTTTCTATTTTAGAATTTTCTGGAGTTCTTTCTCACACCATGAAAAACATCTAATGGTCAAATTAGTTTAAAGTATTATTGAATGTAAATTTATAGCAACTTAATAAATCAAAATAAAAAGATATGTTTGTTTAAGGATTATGTGCATATTTTTCATTTTCTGTTGTTGAATGCGTTAAATAATTCAAGAAAATCATATATTAATGTGCACATCTGTTTTTATTTAAGTTTAATTTCGCTGAGTCGCCGATAAAAGTAATTTACTTTGAGCGGCAGCCCTGTCAGCTGTTTACACTATGTCTTCTGCCTGTAAATTCTGGCAGTGTTCCAGAAGTTTCGCAAGTAATTCCTCCCGAATCACTACATCGAATTGAGGACTCTTTAGAACGATAAAATAATACCCAAGGAGTTCAAAGGAGAGGTAAGACCATTGGCAAGTCTCAAGATGATGGATTTTGATTCTCCATTTTCCGTATTTCCACAGGAGTCTGCGGCAGTTGAACGACGACCAGTTATTGGACAACTGTATGCGCATTGACCACATGCGATTCGATCCGGTATACCAGACATGGCGCTGGATGGGTTTCAATTTCGGTAGGGGTCTTACACTTATCGTGGACTGGCGCAGACTGAAACTCATGCACCATTACCATGGTGCACCAGTCCAACAACTTATAGCGATTTAGCAGTAGCCGTACAGCAATACCATAAGCACTACACTACTGCCAACATGGACTCGGGCAAAAGACCCATGGGCCGTTGTCTCATGCTCGGGCTAAGCCCAATTTGATTTCTGTTCTGAATTTTGTACCGCCTACAATGAGCGTTGCTATCAAATGTATGATTTATTTATCAACTGTTGCGCTATCGTTATTTGTGTACATTTCTTATAGTTCTTGTAGCAATGTCGATATGTCATCCCACTTCTTCAGTTATGCGCTGGTTCGCTGTTTGTACTTAGTGCTCCATGTTCTCCTTCGACTGATTGGGCTCGTAGTCACCGTTAGAGTAAGACTTATATTGGCCCGTCAGCGGTCCGGGTTGTAGGCGAAAGCCAGCCAGCTGCTGTTCAGTCAGCGGACGAAGCACGTGGCCAAAAGTAGGCGGATTGAGCACCACGCTTCCCAGGGTACCGTTATCGACGGGTCTAGTACTGAGCATATCGACATCCTTGATTGTTGGCAGAAAAGAGGCTGGCGATGCCTTAGATAAATTGTCGACGGTCTCCATTAAGGTGTGCTTCCTCTGTTTTGGCTTCGGCAAAGGATTGAAGGAAACGCATCTCACTTTTCGTGGCGGTTCACCCTCCGAATCGTCGGAGTCTACTAAAGATGCTGGTGTGGGCTACATTGAAAAAAGGTGAAATTTGTGTATTATGGCAAAGATTTCGACCACTAGAGCGCTTACATGCAACATTACCAAAATATTACTAATCTGCTCAATAAGAGAAAAGAAATCTCTCGATGGGTTCATTACGGATTTTTTTCACGGAGGCAAGCGATTGCAAATAAATTCAATATGCTATTTCCGTTCTGCTCATATGACAGCTGTTCTTAGGCTTTATGGTATTTTTTTTTCAGACTTATGGTCTGGCAACTCTGTGTAAAAAATAGTAGGGGCATTTGTAATTAACATTGAGTTTGATATAATCAAATCAAAATCATTTCGCTATTATTATTATTAATACAGATCCCTGTAGATTCCCTAAAATCAGGTGGGAGATTCACGGAGCTCGAAAAAAAATCCCCGAAGTCACTTAAATTTATTAGGACAAGAGTAAATTACAGAGCAAGGAAGGATATTTTCTGACGCCAAACGGGAGTCCGTTGTCGACGCTGCTGGGCCGGGAAACAGCATTATATGAAGTGTGCCCAGAATCTTCGCTTCTACATCGTCGGAAATGCTATGTTTTCCTTCCGTTTCCCTTCAATCAATTCTATTTTGCTTGTTTGTTATTCTGCGGGCCTGAGGGTTCAAGCTTTCTTGTTTCCGTAGGCTCTTTTTGGGGCGATCGGCCTGTCGAAGATCTTGTCTGTCCAGTTCGCTCCAATTCTGACCAGCCGATGTGAACTGACCTCTAACCCGAAGAAGGTTCATCAGAGCGAATCAATCGACGGAAACCAGTTCTTGGTCTGCCGCCCCGCTCGACCCACTCGACCCACGCGGTATCTGATTTCATCTAACCCGACAGAACCAAGCCCCACATCACCAAGTCAAGCAGTAGACGCGGGTTCAATTCCCCCGATGCTGTCCTTTCTCTTTATTGTTTCGGCTTCTCGCTATTTATGCGTAATTTGCCAATTTTCACAAATTTCTTGTATTGAAAAGGAGTATAAGTATTTGCAGAGGGGGGCAAAGTCTGCTGCCCTGAAGAGGCACAAAGGCAGACAAACGAACAATCGGTCCGTGCCAGGGCCACGGCCTGGGACAGGTCCTTTATTTCACTCCTTTCCCTTGAGTGCCATGGCACCTTGGGTCCGGCTTCGCGCCGCGTCACGAGTTCATGAGCGTGCCAGACATCCTTGAACTTGCCACAGCCAGGATATCGTGTTCGCATATTTTGTCTGCCCTTTTCCCCCTTTCTTTGCATATATATACTGTATGTATATGTAAGTATATGTATAACGTATATACTTTGAATGCTGCGCCAAGTCGTTGACTTGGCCTAATCCAAACCGTTGCCAGAGCTACATCTCCCTCTGTTTTAACAATTGTTCTTCAAGCAGAAAAAGGATTTTCGGCGTCCGCTGTCTTTTTTTCAGTTCGACGCGAAAACTTTCAGGGTCAACAACATTCTATCTACAGTACTTTTTATATGCATATACATAGACATACTCAAATATTCAAAGTGAAATTTAAAACTTCTTAAACATGACAAGAGTGGATTTCATTTTCCACATGCCCTTTTACCACATGAAAGCCTACATTTTTCTTGTATCTAAGGGGTTTTCCCAAACCTGTGTCTGAGGAGTTTTTCTCATTGTTTCACAAAGGTCAGATCAGACATCAAATTTCAAATATCAAAGATGAGCAAAACTTGAAATATCTTTCATAGAATATTCAACATCCTGCTTAACTTAATTCTGCAAAGCTAATAAGAAAGAACTACCTGAAACCCGTTCAAATGCTGCGAGAATTGTGTATAAAATCTGTATAAAAATCCCCGGGAGCAGAAACCTGTTTTCTAATTTCATAGAATAATTGTAAAAAAACTTCACAACATTTTCTAAGTCCAAAAATTCGATCTAAATTCTCCCAAGATATTTTTTATAATTAAAATCATTAAAAAAAAAACAAGAAATTTCTAATTGCAAAGAAAAATATATATTTATTTCTTTACATATATGATTTCTATGTTCTCTGCTTACACCTATCGATTCATCACTTATGCACTAGAAGAAAAAAAAAATGTATTTATGTATGTTTCAATTGATGGATTCTTTAGTTGGTCAGCTGCAGACGTCGCCAGATGCGCTGCAAACGCGAGTCGGAGACAGACTGAGTCCCAGCCCCAGGGGAGAGCTCATTGTGGTAGGGCTCGATGAAATTGACTGCCGATTGCCTCTGCTCGTTGCCCGAATTTGAGTTTCTCTGATGCTGGTTCTTTCGACTCTTCTTTAGCTGTCGCTTCAACTTGTTCACCTGCTGGGGCTTGTGGACGTGACGATGATGATGGGTCTTCTTGGAGCGGAGCTGCTGTTGCTGCTGTGCCTGAAAGTTCTTCTTTAGCTTGATCTTCTGCTTGTATGTTTTGGGAAGCGATTGCTTTCGCTGTGGCAGAGTTCCGGCTAAATGGGCTTCATCTGGGGGCAAGTCCAAGCCATTTTGGACATCTAGTCCAGTCATTGTGGGCACTGGAAGCTCTAAGACTTGCTCATCTTCCGACTTTCTGTTCTGCGATCGATCCAGGGATCTGGCATTATTGTTCGTCGTTGTTGTGGTTGTCGTCGTAGTGGTGGTTGTGGGTGTGGGCGTGGCAGTTGTGGTTGTGGTCGAGCTTGGCTGAGTGATCACTATAACATTGTCGCTGGGCGGCTGCTGGAACATGCCCCGCAAGAGCATGAATTTCTTCAGAAAATCTCGACCACTGCCCACACTCTCTGGAGCTGGGACTGGAGCTAGAGTCGCGGCTGAGGTGGAGCCAGCACTTCGTCCCTGCATTTGGGGCAGGCGATAGCCTTTGGGGGGCAAAAAGGAGACAGATTAAGGTGCAAGCTTATGTCTGGACATTGACTCACCGCTTCGTCGGGCATCGCTGCTGGCAGCCAGAATTGTGAGGCCGAACAGCAGGGAAATACCTCTTTGAGGGATCTTCATGCTGCGAGATTTCCTGGCACAATGTTTGCCCCATCTATGGAGACGTCTCCTCTTATAAGTTGGAACCTCAGAGTGCAATTAAAAAATTTCACCCGCCTTGCGTGATGATGATGACGATGATGATGCTGACATGCAATCATTATAAAAGATAGAACGGGAAGTCGGTATCAGTGTCTAGGTTGGGCCTGCCTGTCATGTATCTATCAGATGCCGAAGTGAAAGTTCTCTCTGGTAGAATTATTTACGAATATCTATATATTTTTTGCTTCTGTGTGTGTGTAGTAAATCAAATCTAATAAACTCGACAATAAACATGCGTTTTCACATAAATCTGTGGCGGGCAAATGGAAAAACTCGTGCAAGCGTATCTCAAAGATACTACTCGGGACAGGCAGGGCAGCAGGGAGGAAAACATTGCTCTGTATATTCGTACTGTATAAATAAATAAACGAATTTGTGTTCCAGCCTCCATAGCAGACCCCTGCCAGGCTATAGCCTGGCTGTAGCCTGACAAGAGCTATCTACATACATATATATTTTTATGCACATATTTATGTTACATGACCAGTCTCAGTCTCTGTCCGAGTTTCGGTCTCACAATCTCACTTACTGTATCCGTGGCAGTATCTGTATCTGAGGCCCAGCACCGAGTACGAGAGTGAGCATGAGTATCCGTATCTGTGGCAATGTGGCTATGTGGCTCTCGCATGCTGCTGAGTGTGGAGCTGAGTGCGTGAGACGCACAAGGCAAATAACTTTAACATAATTCACTTAAATCTTTTTGTTTTAATCTTGAAAAGTGTTTCCCACAGAACTTACTCTTACTCTCCCACACTCTCTCACACTCAAACTCGCACGCACTCGCACTCGCACAAATACAGTTCTGACAAGTATAAAGATCCCTGAGATACTCAGATACTTGGGGGCTCCGACTACTACTACTACTACTACTACTAATACTTCTACTACTACTACGTGTGTCTGTATCTGTCTGTTCGTGTCGAGCAGCTTTCAACTTTAACACCCAAGTCGCAAAATGTTTTTCTGTAATCATCCAAAGTGTTGTGTCAATAGCTCGACGTTCCTTAAACTCCTCGTCGGATATTTGCTGTTATCATTATTATTATTTTTGCTTTAACACTTGCGGTCTGCCACAGTCGGAATACGTATACTTACTCGTCCGAGTACGAGTATCTATGGGTCAAGTGCGTCTGTGGGGTACGAGTACGGGGGATTTTCTATTTTCAATTGCCATCGGAAAATGCTTTTATTATTTCACCTAAAAGGCTCCAATTGTCGCCGCCTTCCGCCTTTCGCTTTCTTCTTCAACTTGTAATTAACTGAAATTTGCATATGTTCCCTGAATGTATTTTGATTTGACGAAAAGGTCATAAAGAGGCTCTTTTCAATTATCAGATTAACTTTTGCTTTGGAAGATGTAATGCTTATATAAGCTATTCGATAGAGACAGTTTTTAAAATACATTTACAAGCAAAAGTATGCTTAAAAGAAATTTAAAATGCCAATTAAAATTGCACTCAAATGTTTATGTATATTTAGCATATTTTCCATTTTCCTTTTGATGTACATAGCATACGTATGTATTCTTAAGTTTCTTCACCATATCCCAACCCAAATGTAATCAATAATTTAATATGCTCTGCTCTGTTAAAATGTGTCTTTGTGTCTGTTATTTTTGAGCAATTCAGTTCAATCTCCAGTTATTATTTTGCTTGCATTTCTGATTAAATATATCTACGAGTGTCCTGGTTCTGCTCTGCTTGTGGGTCAGAGGATGCTGATGTTTGGCACAAAATTCAATTATAGAATTTTCTATTAACTTAAAAGCTTCTTATATTTATTTAATTTGTTATTGTGTCTCACTTTGGTTTGGTTGTTGCCTGCCGCAGGAGTATAACGACTATAGCGGCTGGAGGGATCTCTCTGTTTGTATTATTGACACAGGGACAGGGACAGGACCAGAGATAGAGACAGAGACAGACAGCTTAGAAACCAGGCATTGCGTAAGAATGTTGCCATCAATTAGACACATCCCCAAAAGGGGGTCAGTCAGGGGGCGACCCAGAGGTACACCCAGGAGTGGAAAACTAAGTGGAAGCAGCCGCCTGCCTTCGTTTGCCATTTCCCCCATTTTCCCATTTTCATTTTCATTTCCATTTGCTATTTTCTATTTGGAAATTCTTCATTTGCCCAGGCCTCCTCAATCTCCCCGCAAACATTTGCCAGATAATTTGACAGTCTGGCACTCGACTGCACTCGTCCCTCCATCTCCATCTCCCTTTAGCTTTGTTGAGTGATTGAATTGTTTTTAGAGCAAATTAAAGTTGATCTACTTTACGCATCTATTTCATTGGACAATCGCTTGGAAGAAGGCTTCCACTTTTTCTGAGTCTGAGTCTAGGTCTGGGTCTGTGCCTTGGCGTCTGACTTTGGCTGTTGGCTGAAAGTTTTAGCCTGGGAGCATGTAAAATGTTTATGGCTAATAAGCAAAACTCCTCACAAATTGAAAAGTTTTCCATCCGGGCAATGGAAAAACTTATCAACTTAATATTATTGGGCGCAGGAGTAGAAAAAGACATAGACGTAGCCGAAGATAAAGATGAAGAGTTTCGTTTGTATAAAAAAGTTTTGCATTGCACTTCTTTATTTTTCGCTTGTTCTTTTTTTATTTAAATTAAGACGGAGCTTGTTCGAACGAGATATAGTTATCTAAAACTGATTATAGATTTTGGCAGCTATGATAAATAAACTATCCGTAGAGCTGCTGTAATTCCAATTAAAGTTCTGCTATTATAAATACAATTTTCTGTGTAGTCCAGAAGAAGATGATCTAGTTTTATTTCGATTACGTATTCTTTTACATTTGATTTCGAATTTATAAAAAAAAAAGTGCTTAGATAGTAAAAGTCATTTCCAGAGTTCCGGGGTCCGAGTGCCGAGTGCCGAGTTCCGCCTCAAAGATACTGCACTCGACGAATATTCTGGGCAAAGCTCTGCAGCTGCTTCCGCCTCATTATGGGACGCTGCCTCAGCCGCTGGCCCAAGCGGCCAAAGCCCGATGGTGCCATCGATGGGGTGTCACTAGCGCCATTGGTCAGCGTCTCAATGAGGTCCTCGGGCTCGGAATCGTCAGCCATTGGCACGGATAGATCCTCTACGATAGGCCGCTCCTGCTCCCGCTCTCGCTCCTGCTCCCGCTCCTGCTCCCGCTCCCGCTCCTCGTTCTCTCTGATGGGGATGCTGGCCAGCTGGCGGAACATGCGCAGGTTGAGTGGCACGTAGCGTACCTCGTTGCCAATGGTAATGGGCACTAGTGGAACGCCACTGCCAAATCCAGTAGACAAGCCGCTGAAACCTCCAGCCAATCCTCCGTCCAAACCTCCTCCTAGACGTCCATCCAAGGCTGACCCATAGAGAGCAGCCTCATTCCAGCCATACAGGCCGGAGGAGTATGGCAGAGAGGACGCCTCGTCCTGGCGCGTGCGGAAGTACGTGCTGGCCGGATATGCGATCGGGCTGCGAATGAACTCTCCAATGCGGGTGCCCCCCGTTGTAGCAGCGGCCGGATTGGTAGCCGTGTTGTTTATGACGTTGTTATTGGTATTGGTGATATTTGGAATAGTACCAGGTGTTATTACAACGAATGTGGTGCCACCGCTATTGCCACCATTTTTGCCATTAAAGTGGCCCAGCCATGAGCGGCCGCCATTAACGTCGCTCTGACTCCGGGGCTGATAGCGTTGCAGGAACTGGGCTGGACTCAGGCCGGGCGACAGAAGAAGTAGCTGTTGCAGCTGTTGATCAGCCACCAAATCATCCTCAAATCCCACATCCACATTTCCAATGAGTCGGGGCTCCGGGGCTTCGTTGGGATGGTCCTGGCTGGTCGGAGGCTTCTCGGGGAACTGGAACTGCCACAGAGGCATGCTGTAGCCATATGCCTGCCTGGGTGCTGCGCTCCTGGCCCATATGCTGTGCGCACTCAGCACAGTCGCCACGAGCAGAAGAAGACTCTTCTGGAGATACATATTCGTTGAGGGAACTTTCTGACTGAATTGTCTGTGCTTGAAGTGAAGAGTTTGTCTTTCAAGTGACTGTGCACGTTCGGTGGACAGGGTGGCGCTTTTATAGGCTAACAGCGGCTGCTCCAGTTCGACCAGCAACCAGCGACCAGCGCCCAGCCCTAATGAGGCTCAATTTATCCGTCGGTTATCGCTGCCGCTTATCACAGTTTGCAGAAAATTTCGCGCTTTCATCGCGATTAAATCCATTAATCTCGCTTCGCTTCGACTTGTTCTTGGCTCTTTTCGCTTCTGCCTTGACTGTGGGCTGGGCTTCTTCTACTTCTTCTTTTTTTTACTGGCCTTCTTCCTTGGCTGACTGGCTGGCTTATTAGTTTGGCTCGAGCTGATGTTAATTACACGTGCCTCGGATAAGCCAAATTAATGGGATCAGTTTGGAGGGGATATTCTCTTTTTCGGTGGGTGTGAGTGGAATCACTTAAGCAGTATTCATTCCATTTATGTATACATACTCGTATGTGTGTCCCACCACCACTGTACAAACTGGAAACCTCCAAACACTATTATGGTTCGAATTCTGCCCACTTTCTGAGATCCACTGTGACAGTATTTACCGATTGCAAGAATTTTTTTTAATCTAAATCTGATGCTGCTTTTTTGTTTATTTTTTACTTAAATAGTTTTTCAGCCTCTGCTGATATGACTGGAACTGTATGACACAGTAACAGGAGGCGGTTATTATTTATACATTAATGAAGGGACAATATTTGTTGTCTTTCTGCAAATCGATAATCAAAAGTTAACTTTTCTACACCATATTTACCAACAGTGTCTTGCAGTGTTTTGCACCTAACAGACTCGAAGTCTTTTCTATCTATTTCAATGTTTGCCTTTGTCTCTTGTCGTTACTGGAGCTCATGAGAACTAGGGTTTTCTGTCAAGGCTTTAATTATATCAAAAAAGCGAAGATTTTTTGCAGATATCGTATTTACCAGTACCTAATCGGATTTGGTTTTTTTAGTTTTAATTATGTATTCTGCTGGTTATTATTCAACTGCTTTATTCAACCATTATACAAGCTTGGATTTCAAACGGAAATTCCCTGTATTCTTCCAAATAAGTTGTTGGAGAAATGTTCTCTAGAAAAATTTTAAATTTAAAAATAAGTTTCGAAAATATAAGGGAACTTTTCATTTTCCTTGAAGAACCCCTAGCAATGAAGCATGTTGATTCTTCGACTTGGCAAGATAGTCATCATTATTCGAACTGATTGGGCATGTCACGTAGACACGACTCTTCTCTGGTAAAAATATGTAAATATGTACATGTGTATAGGCCCAAGGAAAATCCGAGCTAGAAATTAGAAGATTGAATGAGAGACTATGCTAAATAGATCAAATAGTCATGAAAGCTTTTTGAATAACTGCATTTATTACACCTTGAGAGAATTATTTTCTAGAAGATTTTCTAGTTTATCCGATTTGATGCGAAAAAACGTTCTGATTAATTTGAATATAGCTAAGAAAGTATTCAGAAAGTAAACTCAACTACCATTTAGTTCATACAGTGTGAAATTTGAGCCGAAAGTGCGTCAAATATTCATAATTTTGTCATTCCCATGTCTCACAGATTACTCTAAAAGTTTTTGTGCAAGTAGCCATGACTTCCACTAAGAAAATATTTCCATATACATATGTCACACTTCTGGCGTTACCATCTCATACTCTCCTGCTCTGCTTCCCAATCTGCAAATATACTCTTTGGCAGTTTGGCCTAAATCGGAGGCAATACTCGTATAAGCCATATGCATATAGACCCGTTCATATTTCTATGAATTTTCTAGAATTTCTTATTCATTTCATTTCATTTTATTTCGTGCAAGACAAATAAGTATTTTGTTGCACTTCTTGCGAGAGTTGGCAATTTTGTTATGCCATTTTCATGGTAGAAGAGTTCAAACTGTGTCTCTCTCGATCTCTCTCTCTCTCTCTCTCTCTCTCTCTCTGTCTTTTTCCGTATGACCATGTCCGTCTCCGTCCCCGACTCTGTCGCCATTTCTGTCTCTGTCTTTGTCAGACTGTTTGTGGCTGTCTTAGCCCCCGTGTGTTTGTGTTGGCCCAATGTGTCAAAGTCAACTTGGCAAAAAAGTTAGCTTTTTTATTATTTTGTTGCTGTCTGTCGTTCGTTGCTCGTTCGGTTCGTCGCCGTCGTCGTTGTCGTTGTTGAGCTCTTTTTGAACTTGCCGCTTGCCGCTTTTTGGCTTTTCTCTGTCTCTACACGTATGTATGTATGTGTGTATCTATCTTTCTAGCCTTTGATTCTGCTTCTTTCTTTTCTCTATCTCCATGTTTTTTCTCCACTTCTTTGTGCAGCTTTTAGAATGAGGGGGAAACGGTTGAGACTAGAGCCAGCGAAAATATTATAGAAAATATTTTAGAACTGCATACTTTCCGGCGCTAGGCCAATTAAGAAAAAAACGGTTGTTTTGGGCAGGGACAGATGCAGCAATCTTCGAGAAACTCAGCCTTTGATACGCTATTGTTACTATAGAGCGTAGCTCTCTAGTCTATTTTATAAAAAAGTGTTTGGTAGTCGTCCGATATTTTACTCATATCGACGCCAGCGAGCGAAGCGAGTGAGCCGGGGGTTGGTTCACGAGCGAAGAGAGTCCTATAGTAGGAGAATCTTTGGAAAGACCTCTTTTGATGAGGTCTACTTCATAAAAACATTGATGAAGTGATCTGACCTAAACCTATGTGGTTCTTATATTGCGTGGAACCAGAGGAATGGTCTGGACGCACAGGCAACTCTTTGGAGGTATATATTGGAAGCATTTCATCATAATTTAAACGACTTTTGCAAGGGTATACAAAAAATGTATATTACACGAACAAATGGAACGATTTTCAGGAAAGATGAGATAAAAAACCAACGTATGTATAGTACATAGATAGAGAGTGAGAGCAAATAGCGAATATGGCGGAAAAAATGTTATGCAATAATGCGATTTCGGCGCTTTCGACTTCGGCTGCACTTAGAAACCGCTGAACCACCGCCCTAACCCCTGACACCACTTCCGCACTCCAGTGCCTCCCATCGCCCATCCAGAGACTGCACTTTGGCCCTGACGATTTTCTTTTCACTTTTCGCCCGAAGAGTTCTTTGTCGCAATAAAAATTTAAGTCGATTTTATGGGGCTGAAGGGACATGAATGGGTGAGTGGGTGGCTATAGTGGTAAGAAGGGGGTAGGGATATATTTCTCAGTTTTTTCTTCAGTCTCTCACCGACTTTCTTACGATTCTCTCTGGCACGAGAGAAAAGGGATAGAGCCGGAAAAGTTTGCTTCTTCTCTGGCGATTTTGTTGTCTAAACTTGGCTTTCATACCGTGGAATGAGAAGTGCAGGATGTAGGTTGGAGGAAGGGTAGGAAAGTTGCTGGGCTAATGGCATCGTCAAAAAATTGGAAAGGTTTATTTAAATTTCAACTTGTTTCGAAAACGTTTAAAAAGTTTTTCGCTACTAACTGACTTCTGATAAAACAAAAGTCCCCTTGCTTCCTGGCTGCTTGCCACATCGACTGATGCTGCGACGTCTCTTCTTGCCCCACGGCCATGTTAAAACAACTGACAAAAAGTTGCTTGCCTCCCAGTGGGAGGGGATGCTTGAATCATGAATCCGAACGTACGGTGGCGAGGTCGTGACAAAATTAGCACAAGATATTTTATTTCCGGTCCGCAGTCAGCCACGACTCTCAACTCCCTCTAAAAAGCCAATTTTAGGGCTTGAAAACCCCGCAGTAAGATTGAAAGATTCACCTGAGAAAGAAATAGGCCGTCCACGGATGCTGGACGGAGCTGGGGACAAGAGTGTCAAAGATTATGATGGTTGAGTGTGTTTGTATGGGATGGGATGGGATGCTCCCACATGTTGGAGGCGGAAAGTGAATAACGAATTAGAATGTGAATGGGAACGAGAATGGGAACTTAAACAGCGGAACAATGGGAGCGACATAATTGAAAAATGAAAAGCACAATTAATGGACATTGGTCTCCTAAAAATTCGTTAACTGGAAATGGAAATATTGAGAGCAGAAACCAACCGCACAATCGAGGCATCTCGGGATGCAAAGGGATGCATTCCATAGCTCATCTTGTCCCTGCTGTTCTATCAAATGAATCTGTCAGTTTTTCAAATATACCCAGCCATTGTATAAAGTTTCGAGTGGCATCCACCAATATTGACAGCGCACAAATGTAGAACACTGGGCAAGTGGGATGCGACTTGGGCTGGCACTGGCACTGGCGCTGGCACTGGGACTACGGTGGGGGTGTGGAACGTGCCTGAGCACGTCTTCTACTTAACTTTGTTAAACACAAATCCTTTGGGCAAAGAGTTGGTCGTTCGTTGCCCCTCGCTGGGGCACGACCACGCATTAGATTCGAGGGCGGAGATGAGGCCGTAGAGTGAGATTCGGGAGCCGGGAGCCGGGAGTCGGGGACAAGCAGACATAATCGCATAAAGATAAAACTGTTTAACAGTCGCAATGAACAAAAGGAACTTGCGGCTGATGGTTTTCGGCTGGGCTGGGCAGGACAGGGCTGGGCGGGGCAGGGCAGAAGCACATCTGGCACAGAGGAGTATCATTCAATTGACCTCCTGCAGATGCTGCGGGGATGCTGCGGGGATGCTGCGGGGATGCTGCGGGGATGCTGCGGGGATGCTGCTATGTACACAAAGACACCCAACGGCGCTCGACGCAAAAATCTGTCAATTATTTAAATCACCACGCAAAAATCTTACCAAGTGCCAGGTCTCGGGTCAGGCCTGAGCCTGAGCCAAAAACCCGCTGGCGGCTCAACGGGGGGTGCCTCAAAAAAATATATATATCTATATAGGGATACATATACTTTGATAAGTCGGGTCCTGGTCCTGGTCCTGGTCCTGGTCTGTGTCTGCTGGTAATTAACATGAAAATAAGCGCATTAATGTCATTAATGCCAGGGGTCTCGAGCCAGAGGAGAGGAGCTGGGTTGCCATTGGCAACTTGCAAATTTAAAATGTGCGCCAAGGTCGAAGGTCGCTTGGTCCGTAGGCCCCTCTAATTATGGAATCGAAATCGAAATTCATCCGGCTCTTCGTCAGAAAAGATACGAAACGGAATGAAACGAAACGTGAAATGTGCGCAAATTAAAATAATAAATCCGCCAAATTAAACACGGAACTCGTTAAAGATGCTCCTCCTCCTGCTCCTCCTCCTTCTCTTCGTCCGGCTTCTTCTCGCCGAAAATGGATGGGAATGAAAATGTGGGAGCGGGTCTCAAGGAAGTCTTTTGTATCTCCTGCTTATGGCGGCTTCTTTTGACGTCGTCATTAGCAGCATTTACACGTCGCTCAAGGATAATAAGTAACGGGGAAAGTGTGAAAAGAACCAAGAAGAAGCAGCAAGGAAGCAGCAGCAAGGAAGCGGGAGACTGACACAAATTAAACTGAAATTAGTTGCAACTCACTTTGCCATAGCCTCCCTCGAAAGTAGATGAGGGTCAACGGGAAGTGCTCGAGTTTCCCCAAATCCCACTAACACTATCACTACCACTACCACTACCACTGCCACTGCCACTCCCACTCCCATTCTCATTCCCACTCCCATTTGGCTTCCCCAAAATGTCGAGACAGACCCCAAGAAGGGGCAAGAAGCTGCATTGGCTAATGAGAAATGTCAGCTACATGAATGTTAGGTAAAAGAAATGCACTCAAACATGCAGATGGAAGCCCTGGAGAATGTCAGAGAGATTGCTCGTAAGTGCTGTCAATTTATTAATGCCCGAAGTGTTTGGCAAGGCATTGCTGGAACTCCTTTATACATTCTATGCATGTCTTCCACACACATGTGTAGGTTGGAATCCTTAGAAATATGCTTACCAGTCATACTATATTTATATATATACCTCAGATTTATATTAAATATTTATGTTGCACATCGACCAGGAGCTGGGTGGTCACTGGGACTGATTTAAGCCGTTCACCACATTTCTGAGCCAACTATTGAATTTTATCGAACTCTTTTTATGCAGTTTTAGAAGAGATGACTTACAAATTGGAGAAAATTTTGATTAGGCTTTCTTATGAAACAACCAGGGGAATAGCCTTGCACGAGGAGTGCTATTCTCTCCCTCTCCGTCACACACTTCCCCGATCAGTGAGCGCTCCCAGCGGAGTGAGCGTGATGTAACATCAGGATGCTAATTTGCTGGTGGTAAGAGAGAGTGAAAGAGAGCTAGAATATTTGTCATACTTTCTTTGTTTTTCTCTCATCACCGTTTTGTTTTTTCTCTTGGCAAGTGCGACATCAAAATATTAACATAAATATAATAGATAGTCTGTCATTCGGTAAGCTCATTTGGTCTTTCTTTTCCACCAAGTCCAAAACTACCAGCCCTTTTGCAAACTATTATTGATACCCTTCTGTACAAACTAGGAACAGTGAATAGGACAGCGACGATAAAAGGTACTTATTTAAACTCTGATTGGACACATTGATCGATTTTTCAGCACAGCTTTCAAAAAAGGGGTCTGCACTTCCACTTAGTGTTAATCAATGCTAATTGACCGAAAATTGTTTCGCTGTTAACCAGGTTCCACTAGTACAGTCTGCTCCGCAGCTCTCGTTCCAGTTGATTCAGCGGGAACAGTTTATGAGTTGGCCATTGTCCTGGGCCACCGCAAGCATTTCCTCTGCCCTGACTGCTCCCTGTAAGAGAGTGGCTCCGAAGGGTCCCGTGGCATCCTGCGGTGGTGAATACTGCTCCGGTTCGAAATCCTATTGCTGATGTTGTTGCAGTTAATGCTGCAGTTGCAGCTGCGGTTCCCTCTCTCAGCATGGGCACAGTCAGCGATAAAACCACAAAACAGCAACAGCAAAAGTGGAAGAAGGTTGAATAGCAGTAGCAGAAGAAGGATGAAGACGAAGAGCTGCAGTAGGAGCAGGAGCAGGAGCAGGAGCTGGACTGGGAACAGGATGTGGGATCTGGGATGTGGGGTATGGGGTATGGGGTATGGGGCCGTAGCTACAGCGACGACAGGGAGAATCTTGGCGTGCAAGAACAATGAGGTGATAAACTTGCAGGCTCAACGCATGACAACGATACCCAACAACGACGACGACGTCACATTTTGATGGCTCCTTGGAGAGTAGAAGCCCACTGGTTGGGGTCACCCCCTACCACCCACTACCCACCATCCATGGCCACTCCCACTGCGGCGGATAGGGGGAGAAAGTGCAGCCATCCGCTTGCTGCTCGTTGTGTGCATGCAAACAACAAAGGAAAATCAGCAGCGTCTTTGGTTGGGGGCGATGTCACAGTCCTCCGTGGTCCCTTATGCACTGTGCCCCGCTTTCAACCCTTAGCCCACTGTACCCCAGCTATGCCCCTCCTACTCCTGTCGCTGCCCTTCCCCTTCCACTTCCCCTTCCTCTTCCCACCAACATCCCTGTACATCTATACGTATACGTTTTTTTTTGTTGTTGCTTCCAGCTCTTTAACGTGTTTCAAAAGAAAGTTGGTTGACTTTTGAATGACTTTCTTGGCGCGCGCTTGGCTCGCAGGCACCCTATTCCTATTCCGCCTCAAGCTTTTGCCCCATCTGCCCCGTCCCCAAACCCCTTCGGCCCCTGCTGGCCCCAACTCTGTCCCACCCCAGCCCCCTGCCCCTGCCCATGCCCCTGTCCTGCTCGGGTCTGGTCTGCTCTACTGCTGCTGTTGTTGTTTGTTTTATGTGTTAAGTGCGCTGGGCCCAAGCGCGCAAATTTCTTCTTGTAACTGATGCTGACGTTGACATCGCACCCCCAAGCGACCTCCTCAACAGCATCTTGCCCAGTCCAGGCTCCCAAAAAAGTATATATGTGTGTGTGTGTGTGTGTGCACAGACGAGTCGAAAATCTAGTTACAATTAAAGTGACAGGCTGGCCACGGCAACAGACCAAAATCATAGAAATTGCATTCCCTTTGAACTTTGCTCCTTTTTGCAAGATAAGAATGGAGCAGCGGAGGCTTTGGAGTGATTAAAAAATGCACAATAGATGGACTGGATGTAGCGGAAGGGGGATCAAAAGTTGCTGGAAAACAGAACCTTACAGTTCTATACGAAGTAACCTGAATGGAAATCTTTGGATTTTAAGTATAGATGTGGACCATTTATGCTCGTATAATAGAGGCCAAACTGAAGCATAGACTGCAAACTGAATAAATTCTTTCAAGGCATATTAAAGCTGCTCATACAGAAACTACTGGCGTTTAATCTATAACCCATCTATCTCCCCACATTCAAACTCAAACATTTGTAATCTTCTCTATAAGATTGCAATGAAAATGTTGAATGGAAGTTCCTTTCTTCCCGAGCTATAAGTGTGTTCATAAAGTATTCGTTTTCTTTAGGGCATTCAAGAGTCGCGTAAGCACTACCTTCGAGTATTTTGCTCGAGCCCTGCCCTGGCCTGGCCGGCCCTGCCTGTCCTCCGTGAACTGCACTTGTTTTAATTACTGTTCCGTGTTGATTCCCCAGGACCAAAACGACCGACATAAAGTGAATTTTCAATTTTTCCATGCAACCCCCCCGACTGGCAGACCTCTGACTGGACCCCAACCCGGACCCGGACACTGCCCATAGATGGAAGTCGTCGACTTGGCTTGGTTTCGTTCTGTTTATTTGCTCGCTTGCTCTTTATTCGACTACTGTGTCACTGGTAAGATCTGGGTCTGGATGGAGTGCGTTTAGTGGGGAATACCACTTCTCCTTGCCCCCCTAGACCTCGTTGTTGTCCTCGCGAACGCGAAGACGCTGCTGCTGCTGACGCTGCCTTTTGGGCTGCTGGCGACGTCGACGCTGCTGCTTCTGCCTCTGCTGCTGCTGACGACGACGCTGCTGCTGACGGCGGCGCTTCTGCTGCTGCTGCTTCTGTCTGTTGCCGTTGCTGTTGCCGCTGCCACGGCGCTGGTTGGGGCGACGTCGCTGTTGCTGAACGCCACGACGCGTGTTCTGATTGCCATTGCCGTTGCGTATGCGGCGGCGGCGCACCACGTTGCCGCTTTGGCCGCGGCGGCGCTTCTGCTGCTGCTGGGGACGACGGCGACGACGACGATTCGGCCCCTGATTCTGCTGACCGCGCGGATGGTTGCTCTCCTGTTCCTGCTCCTTCTCCCCATCCTCCTGCTCCTGCTCCTGCTTTTCGGGGGCCTGCTCCTCCTCTTGCGACTGCGATTGAGGCTTCTCGGTGCTGACCTCCGCGGGCTGCTCGCCACCGCCTCCGCTGCCGCCTGCCTTGATGGGCTTGATCTCGCCAACCCGGACATTGGTCACCTGGTCACAGGGCACATCACTGTAGATGACCACATTGCCGTAGTTACACACGATCTGGTCCTGGCCATCATCCGCCTGACGCCCCTCGATGGACCCCATGCCGCGCTTGTCCTCGATCTCGTAGATGTTCCCAGACTTCGTGATGAATCCAGTCACCTGCAGCGGCTTGGTGTCCTTCACCTGCATTCCCGACTTCAGCTGCATCGGCTCGGCCGGCATCTCCACCTGGACCGGGACCGGAACCGGAACCGGAACGGGAACGAGATGCTTCTGCTTGTTGGGCGGGGCATTCACAATCATCATGGGCTTGGTGGGCCTCACATCCAGCTTGGGGGCACTGGTGGGCTTCACCGTGGAGCTCGTTCGGGGCGCCACCGTTTGGCCTTTGTGGTGGAAACAAAAACAATACAAAACAAAAAATAATAGTCACGTTCATTTCTGATAAAATGCGGGGGCAAGGATTAAAAAAAAATTTACCGCTCACCAGCGAGAGGTCGCTGGAAAGGGCGATGGCCCAGACCAGGACCAGGATCGTCCAGAATCCCTTATTGCATAGCATATCAACGTCTTCGTTTGCCTCAACTATCTCAACTGAGTCGCGTTCCGTTCCCCAACTGAAACTTATATCAACTTCTTGGCCAACTTGCGCATAAATCATTCCCTAACGGCATTTCTCCAGCCAATTTAGATGGTTGTTCTTTTTAATTTTTCTTTTTGCCAGCCCAGAGATCTAGCATAATTAACTATCGGGGCTCAGAGCGTGTCGAAACAGCAAGAAAAAACAAAAAGAAACGGCCAAGGGGCGACCCATTTACCAATAGAGTAGCGTCCATCCTCCATCCTCCACCTCCCCATCGCCCGTTTCCACCGCCATCTCCCGCTCGTTCTACCCCCATGCCAGGCAGAGTTCAACGGCTCAGCGACGAACTCTGGACATATGGACAACTGGACAACTGGACAGCTCATTAACATTCATATTTCTTCGATACGAGTATACGTATACGTATACGTATACGCACACGATTTTTGCCGCTGTCTAAATTCTCTTTTCGCTTCATTTTCTCACATGTTGATTATGCAAATTGCTTTCAATCGATAGCTGTTCTTGGCACCCAGTGGGCATTTTCAAATTTGACCTTAGGCCAGTCGTAGCCCAAAGAAAAAACTAAACTCGCCAACCAATACCCACTACCACTCGAAGAAGGTCGAGGAATTTACAATGTGTGTAAGAGTAGCTCCAATGATTTCCAAATAAAATAATAAACATATATTCTGTATTGTAAACACATTTGAAAGTTATTAGCTTCTTTCCACAGTCATTATGGCTTATTCTATTTATTATAATATTTTTATTACATATACAAATACAAAAAAATTGTTGCGTGCCCAAAAACGGGTTTGGATCTTGGATTTTGTTTGATATTGTTGTTGTTTTTGATATACGTACGAACAGCGGAAGTATTTATAGAAAAATAATAAATCAAAGACGGGGGTTGAGAATATCAAAAAGCGCTAACGTTTTATTCGTTTTTTTAATATCGTAGTTAAAAAACACACAACAAAGTTGTTGAAAAAATAATAATGAAGGAGTGCAAGGTACAAAATTATGGGAATGTATTGCAATTCGCTGTATGAGGAAGCGATCTATCTATCTACTTTTCAGGCCCACATACAACCTTATTATTGTCTCGTTTGCTCGAAATGTATGTATGAAAAATATCCCATATCATCTCATTGCTCTGATTTGCCATCCAGTGGAAGATTTTCTCCGGAAGCTAGGAAAACTTTTTGTACTTTTGTACTGTTCTTATTAACATATGTATAATCAGTGAAGGGGAAAAAAAATGATACCAATTGTTGATCGAAAGAACAAATACCGCCATCCTGAGATATCTGCACTTTCTCCCACAAACAGAAATGGCATGCATTTTTTCACGTTTATTTCCAATCAAAAACTTTCACAAATTAAAAAAATATATACACACATACATATATAAAAAAAATAACTGCCTTTAGGTGTTGAAATGGAGATGATCCATCAGGAGTTTTTAATCTTTTTAGTGCCTGCGATGGCCGTGGTGATGGCGCTGGTCCTGGCGGTGCTCGTGGCGGTCTTCCTGGCCGTGGCGCTGAGCATAGGTGCGCAATGCCTGGGCCAGCTCTGAGAGGGATCCCTTCTGGGTCTTCTCCTGCTTGCGCTCCTGCTGCCTCTTGAGCTCCTTGCACATCTTCTTCAGCTGCTTGCGCTCCTTCCTGCCCGACTTGGAGGACTTTCCCTCGCCGCTGTCCTCCTCGGAGGAGGATCCGCCGCGCTTCTTGCGTCTGCTCAGCTCGGCGCACTGCTGCAGCAGCTTCTCGGCCTCCTCATCGCCAGCGTCCTTGGGCTTGGGGGTGGTTGTAGTAATTGTAGTGGTGCTGGTGGTACTGGGAGTAGTACTAGAGGTAGTTGTGCTGGGACTGGGTGTTGTATTGCTGGTGGTTGTGCTCGGAGTAGTGCTGGTGGTTGTCGTACTGGGAGATGCAGTTTTGGGCTCTGGTTTCGGAGTTGTCGTCGTTGTCGTTGTGGTTGTGCTGCTGGTCGTTGTCGTGGAACTCGCCTTATCCTCCACGGGCTTGGGAGTGGTTGTGGTGCTTGTCGTCGTCGTCGTCGTCGTCGTCGCCGGGGAGCTGTCCTGGGGACGGGCCAGACAGCAGCCGACCATCAGCAGGCCAAATATTATCAACGTAGCCGCACGCATTTTCTAGCAAGTAAAAACTCGTATTTCCCTCGGTCCAAGTAGCGCACAGTAGTCGACCACAACTAAATAGAGATCAAGTCTAGGCATTTGCTTATATATGCGGCACTTAGCGGGTCTCCCTCCACCCTGCCACGCCATCAGATGCCATGGAGCCTTGCCTTCGAGCAGAGAGCATCAGATGCCGAGAGCCGTACGCGCCGCGCCGTCCGACTGGTTTTTGGGATACGATTAGAAAAGCGTCTATAAATTGTCATTATACATTGAAATTTTATAAACAATTTTTTTATACTTCGGGGATTTTTTCTTTGCTATCAGCACCCTACAGACGAATTAGCCAAGTCCATAGGAGTTGGCCATAAGCTGTGGCAGCTGGCAAAATGTTGGCAGAGCTGTCTATGCCTCACCCCACCCCTCAACACACATCGGATGGTATACATTGTGTTTATAAACATATGTGTGAGTACATATGTACAGTGTCCAAAAATAATGTCAATATATCAGATTTTTTTTTGCCGCCACTGTTTTGCCGCTTTTCTGTTTTCAGCTTGCGTTGGTCATTAACGCTTCTGAGAATTGTCTGCTGCCATAAATAAATCGTTCTCGCCTTCTTATTCCTCTCGCCAGCGCTGCTTATCAGCCATATACTCGTGTATATATGTATGTACATATGTACACTGCTTTCCTACATGCTTAATATTTACATACTCGAGCTATTTATGTATATTTTGCATAACTATACCCTTACACGATGACAATACATCTTTCTGAGTCATTTGTAGGCTGAACGTCGATAGTTTTCGTAGTTGCCTCTGCAATAGTCTCATGTACATATTACTTTTAAATCGAAGATAAATATTGTGAACTTCAATAATGAAATCAAAAATGTTTTTTTTCTATTTCACATACAATCCCTGGGGCTATAAGATGTAGGTATATTTAAGGCCCTAGTTAAAAAATTATTTGAATATTACACTAAACAATCTATTAATCTGGACTGATTAATTTTATTACAAAATGGTAATATAATAATAGAATATAAAATAGAATTAAATACGATCAAATATGAATTGAAATTTGTTGGGTATTGCCATCTGCGGCCTTGAGTCTTTTTTTCTTCGGCTTCAGGTTTCTTTTGTTTTATAGGAAAATACGTACATATTGGATGGGTCTTCTTTTTTATTATTATTGTTTTTTGTTTTTGTTTTTTTTTGTAGCATGCGTTTTTGCGGCTCGCTCATAATGCCACTAATTGTTTATCAATTACACTTGTTAATTGTTTAATTCGACTGAAAAGTGACGATTCGCGACTGGGCTGGATACTGGAATCGGCATATGCGGCGGGGGGCAGGATGTGACTGGAATATCATACAAACTGCCACATTTATTCAGAGTTTGCACAGATGGGTCCATGGATATCATGACCCCTGTCCCTTTGCCTTCCCCTTCCCCTTCCCCTTACCCTACCCTTGCCCACACACAACCAGCTCCCACGATTACTTGCTCTTTTTTTGTGCGCTGCACATTTGTTGTCTGTTTGCAATTTGTACAAGTAATTGAATAAAAAACGTGCCACAAAAAAAAAACAAGTAATTAAAAAGCGCAAAAAGACAAAGAACGAAAAATTAAATCCCCGCGCGCACTGCGACGCAGCTGAGAGCAGGAGAAAACGTGGCTCCAGTGGGTGGGATCAGGCAGCACCACGTAATCCATATGGAAACGTTTTCAGCATTTCAGCGGAGTAGAGAGAATATGTTAATTGCGTGTGAAACCGCTTCAGCGAGTCCGTCCCTGCCACTCCGCCACCCCGCCACTCGCGATATTTACTCTTATTTATTACTTATTATAATTATAATTTATTTTTATTTGCATTCTCTTTCCAGGAAGCCATGCCATGCCGTACGTACGAGTCTAGGCTACTGTTCCGCTTGTCCTGGGCTCCCAGACTGCAGTTGTTCGTCGGGGAAAGTTCCGAGTTGTGCTATGAATTGGAATTCAAATGTTTCTCTACGAAAAGAAATGTTGCCCAATCTAGTTGGCGCTTACTTTGTTTTCTTGCCCTTATCCAGACACAAATTCTCTCCAGTCAGTCGTTGGGGCGGAGTCGATTCGGAAACTAAATTACAAATTTAGAATTTTTTATTTTTACTTTTTTTTTTTACTTTTGTATCGAAATTCGAAGCAGTCAAAATTGAATTATGTCCAATAAGCAGAGCCATGACGTTGCACCGATGTCCACGGAATCTTCGGGAGGGGGGAAAATGGCTTGTCACGATCTGACCGAGATGGTAATGCAGCTGAAGGCGTCAATCTTGTCGCTGCCGCTGCCTCCGCCACCCCGGGAGAAGTCAATGATGACCTTGGAGCAGCAAATGCTAGCATTTACTCAGGAGGCGGCTCCTCTTGCCTCTGTGATGCCTGAACCAAAGCCGCTAAAACTGCTCTGTATGCGACCTGCAGGACGCGGAGAGAGCCCGGGGAACCTGAAAAATGCAGCAGCACCTTGTGCTGCCCCCGCAGGACCAATGCCGGAGGATCCACCAAATCCTTCGCTGGATCTGGGAATAAAAAGGGATGACAGTGCGGGACAAAGCCCAAGCCAGAACTAAACGACGCTGGACCATCTGCCCAGGGAAGCTCTGAATTAATTTACAACATACAACTTTTGTTACAACTGGATCCAAGCTCTCCTCACCGACTGCAGCTCTTTTTTTCGAATATTCATAAATATATGCAAAATTCCAAGACAGTTACTTAATAATACTTAATAAATAATTATAAATTATTTTCTGGGGGCGCTCGAACGAAGCGGGTGTGCGGGTGAAGCGGGGGCTTGCGCCCTAGCTATTAATTATAATAATTATGTATAATTGTTAATTAAATGATTATATTAGACCGACATGCGGTGAGTACTTTTTTATAGTTCATTTTATTATTATTTTCCATACAAAATTTGAAAAGTTCAGATATTTATGTAGGTATGCGCTGAATTACTGAATCTTTTATATATATAAGTATGTACTATACCATAGAGAATTGCTTTGTAAATGCTTTAAATTAGCAACATCCTTAAATTTGTATATTGAAAACTGGGCTTATATTTATGTTCTTCAGTTCTCAATGACTCTCCCATTAAATGCTTAGAAATCACTTCAGCTGTAGCTATATGAAACGAATTTCTATTCATTCGAGGATTTTAGTAATGGCTCTTCAATGCTAGAAGCATTTCATTCTTGGCTGCTGGAATATTCTGCCCTTTTAGTTGCATAATCCCCACTTGCAGAAGCCTCGTTCCTGTTAAATGTCCGTCATTTAAATTGGGGATAACTTCGGTGCTGCTCCTTGTTGAATGTTTACAATGGCCAAAACTGCAGTTGCATGTCAAACCTCTTTCCGAGCCCCGGCGAGAACCTCTTCCCGTTGCTCTATTTCGCTCAAATTCAGATACACAGATCAGGCTCACAGATGCACCCCGCTCACAGCCCGCTCGGGCAAAAAGCATCATCATAAGCGTTTCAGTAATGAGCGCGCAGAAGAACTTTCCTACGGCGATGATGGGCAAAAGAAAGTTGACACGGCCCAAAAGAACCGAATCCGACTCGCAGCCGCCCAGTCAAGTCGACTTCTTCAAGTGCATTTCCATCTTATTCCTCAGATCTATTCTCACCCCCAATCCCTCCCATCCCCCTCGGCGTACCTTGACTTGCGGAAAATTTTCGCTGACAAGTGCATTTTCATAAAGATAATATTTCAGGGCTCTTCAAGTGAGAATGAGAGGAGCGGAGCGGAGCGGAGCACCAGTAGTTCACCAAAGTACTCGTAAAACTTGAGTGCGCTGTCAGGCCGGGCAAACATCGCGCATACGCCACGTCGCACAGAACCGCTCCTGGGCAGTGCAGGCCGCTGAATGGCCGCCATATGAACTAAAACCGAAGGACAGTTGGGCCATGGCCTAAAAAGCGAGCCGAAGACGATCCAAATTTTAGACGGTGACGAGGCTGAGGGAGCCGAACGGAGACGAACCACAGCCGAAGTGCCTCGGATAACAGGCGCAGGCGCTGGGAGCGGGCAGCGACGTCGTCCCGGACAGCGGCAGAGCCGTTAACAGAGGCCTAACAGCAGCTTGTCAGAGTGGGAACAGTTTTGCTCAGGCCTCGGGTCTTTGTGCGGCGTTGTGTGCCGGAAAGAGCACGACCCAGAGGGAGCGAAGGAGGCATAAAGACCTGGCTCTAACTTTAGTTGTTTTTCTTTCATTCCACCTTTTTTTGGGGGTTTTTGCGGCATTTTCACTTTGATGCGTGTGGCATGTTTAACGGCACTTGATGATGCAACAACAGCAGTACAGCAGCAGCAGTACAAGTGCACCCAAGCCCCCACTCTCACCTGCCTCTCCCCCTGTCCAAAAGCATCCAACATGGCAAATGCATTTCAATTGCTTCCAATTCTCGTTGCACTTCATTAAACTCAATGTCGACATTCGACAGCAGCCGAAAAAGGACCATGTGGAGCGTGTGGCGCATGTGGATCGGGACGGGGTACTTGCGCCTGGGGGCCTGGGGGCCTGGGGACCGGGTACCGGGGACCAAGAGGCAGGCCTGACCTGCCTTGTCAGTGCTGTGCCACGTGACCTTCACACAGAGAAGGAGGAAGCGATGGAGCCAGAGACAGACTCATGTACGCACTGCCTGTGGCACGAGAGGGACCGACGCCGCTCCATCGAGAGGCCGCATCACGTAGCCAAAAGAATGAAGACCACAACAACAGAAAAATTTTCGCTAAAACTTCGAGTATATCATCTTTTGTTGTTGTTAACATTCCAGGAAATGCTTTCGCTTGATTTTCAGATGCCCATATGGCAGTGGGGCCGCATATGGGCAAGTGAACGCCGAGAAATCCTATAACTGATTTTTTTCGACATAGCCTCAGTCCGAGAACACACAAAATCCGATCACAATACTCCACAATACTCACAAATACTCCATTCCCACTGACGATTTCCGAGCGAATTTCCCCTAATGGAACATTTTTCCAAATTTTTTCCTAACCTTAGCGAAGCGTTGCATTGGTAAAATCGTTTTCTGTTTCGGTTTTTCGTGACGAGCCTCTCTGCATTTGTCCATTTTAATCAGCACCGCAGGCAGACAGGAAAATGTGCCTAAAAAAAAAACAAAAAGAATGTGATTAGATAATGTAATTTTGCAAAGAATTCACCTTTCTCTCAGTCCACAATACACTTTTCCCCCTGCGTATTGCCGTGTGCATTCCGACATTTGTACTGTCCATTGGTTTGTCACTTAAATGGCAAATGGCAAGAGGAAAGGCCTCACCTGACTGCTCCAGAAGATCCATTTTCCATGCCAGCGCCTCTTTGTGGCCTTCTGGTTCTGGGTCTGGTCATGGTTCTAGGCCCTGCCTGCATCAACTGCCTGAAACACGTTTTTTCGACAAAATCCGGAGGCATTCGGATGGACGGCCTGATGAGCTGCAATCTGAGCCACTTAAACGAGCTAAAGGGGTGGGGAGAAAGCTTGCTTTGAGTTTAGTTCGAAAAGTAATCGAATGCTATAATTTCCATTAAACTGATTTCCCACGGGTAAGTGCAAGTCAAGCCAGCAAATGTTGCAGTGTTCCTCTGCCTCCACCTCCAGCTGCACCACCACACCGTTCGACATTTTGGGAGACTGGAGGCCGGAGGCTGGAGCCTGACTTGTCGCGGCAGCTGCCTCAAAGGCGGAGGAGGCCGGAGATCAGGGGAGTATGCGGCAAAGCCACCAGTTAATGGCCACATGCATAAAAACTTTCCCCCAGACCAACGGCCAAACGGAAACAGAAAGAGGACACAGCCGAATGGAGGACACAGCACGAGAGCGAGTCCGTGTATGCAGTATATGCAACATTTTATCCATCCATTCCACAGCCATCACAGCATCACAGCCGTCTCCAGGGACCCCGACCGAAGTCGAGATTCTCAAGTCCGGCTACAGCTCCAAATGAAAAATAAATTGAATTAAATACCAACTGTGCAAAGACGATTGGCCCAGCCCCATATAAATAAATCAACAGCTAAAAGTGCTCACGAGGCCAAAAGCCCAACTGTCAAGTCGGCCAAATATTGCAGCTTTCTGTCGTTGAATTTTCTTTGAGAGGAAGCCGCAGGCCTTGAAGATCAGCTCTATTGTAAACAATGCCAAAGCTAGCAGCAATAGTCGTAGTACAGGCTTCTGATGGGAGACTTTTAGTTGGTTTTTCCCACAAGCCAATGATCGCCTTCGTCGTGCGTCCCCAAAGAAGGTTCCCTTTCTCCAATGCATCCACAACCACACCACATCCATACAAAACAAATCCGTAACAAAGCGGCACTCAGCGCCCAAAGCCAAGCCCAATCCAAGTTGCGGCTCAAGTGTCTTTTCTTTACAGTAGAAGGAGTGTAGAGGGGGTGCTTGTGTCCAGATCCATGCCCGAGAACCTCAAAATCTGTCAGAGTATTCTTATCGCCGTTAGTCTGTCCCAGAGGATGGACGATGCAGAGCGACATGGAGTTGAAGATGAGTTCTGTTGGTCCTTTTCCTGGTTCTGTTCCTGTTCCTTGTCCTTGTCCTGCTCTTGGTCATCGTCCTATTGCTGCTTCTTACTTAAGCCGCTTTGAGCATGCATGGTACGAGTAAGGGAAAAACGGGCCTAACCACAGCTGCTCTTGCACTGTCGGGCCACTCCCAGAGCGGGCTCTAAGAAGAGCTCCTCGTAAGGTCTTCGGATATGGGTCGGGAAAGGGTGAGCCGGGTTGGGCAGTACTTGCCGGGGAACGAGCAACGATGACTGTCACCTGCGACTTATGCAAATCACCGACCAACAACTGAAAAATAATTTTCCACATTTCCGCTACAAATAAAAACCAATTCACTTTGCTAATATGGCCACAGTGAGGACTCATCCGGAATGCCGGAGTAGGCAGGCAGCCAATGATGGTGGGCATGATCGGGGGCACGGAACTGCGTTTGGGGGGTGTACGCAGGGCCCCAACAAAACTTTCTGCACGCAATGCAATCATTTTGTTGCACAATATACACGCTCGTATTTACCCTATCAAAGGGCCACGTTCTTCTTTGGTGATGTTCGAAATATTTGAAGCCGGAAAGCCAATTGATTTTAATCATCTGTTGCCCCCCGGTAGACAGACTCTGTCTGATTGCATTCTGTCTGTCATTGAAAAGCTACCATCCAGAATGGTTTAATCAGAATTCAAATCCTTTCTAGCTTACACTTGGGGATTTATTCCATACCAAGTTGCAGAAAACATTAAAATCTGTTAAAATTCGTAGGAATCAATTTGGATAAAACTTTTGTGTGTTTTGTCTTGTGAAATTTTCTATAAAAGGAGAACTCAGTGTTCAACCCAGAAATTAATTACTTATTTTGGAATATCTATGTTTCTGGAAGTTCTGGAAAAAAACCAATTGTGATTCGAGTGTCTCTCCTTGGGGGTAATGAGTGTATTTTTCACTTCGACTTGGGGCCGTTTGTTTCCTTGTGATATTTCCATAAGCTGCCGCTTACCCCCTCTATACCCGTGCCACCCCTTTTCAATGTTTCTTTTTCGCATTTGTTGAATGTCAGTCAGTCGGTCTGTCAGTTAGTCAGTATGTCAGTCAAGTTGGACGTTCGCTACGTTCGGGAGTCGCATTTTCAAGTCGTTAAATGCTTTTGCAGCTCGTCATTGTCGTTGGCATTGTGGCTGCACTTGTTCACCCCCTTACCACTCTTGCACTACGAGTATATGTGTATCTAACCCTGTCCTTCCCCCCTTTGTGTGTGTGTGTGTGTGTGTGTTAGCCTCTGGGTTTGTTTCGTGTCGCTGGCATTGTCAATGCTTTCGACTTCCTTCCGCTTTGGCCAACAAATTTGCGTCGCGCATGCAGGCCAGGCAAACATAATCATCATTATTGCTGCAATCAGCATATTTGGCAGGCTTAAAGGTCCTGTTCCGAGTCAGTCTGCCTGCCGCTCGCCCTCCTTCTGTCCTGCGGGAAAACACGGAAGCATTATAAATTTTCCCAGCCCCAGCCGCAGCCGCAGTCCCTGTCGTACCCCCTCCAACCGTTTCCTACCCATACCCTGGCCCACTCTTCGTTTAGTTGTGTGGTTATGCTTAATATCCGTCATTAAAATTTTTGTTTTTTTTTTCCTCTGTTGAAAGAGGAACTGAAACCGTAGCCGAAGCTCTGGAATAGTAGGAGCTTCAGCCGGGACATGGGCCACGGCGAGTGCGTGGGTCGGTCCGGGTCCGGGTCCGGGTCCGGGTCCGGGTCTGGGGCTCCGAACTGAACTGAACTCCGTTGAACTGAGACTGAGCCAATACACATGCATTATGCAAATATTATATGGGCTAGTGCATAGCACGATAAGAATCCATTGCGCAGAAATTAATTAGTCAATTTGCATGAAATTTATGTACAAAGCGCGAACAAACGAAACGAAAATGAGTGGGTTAAAAAGGAAGACCGAGCACCAGACTTTGGCTTTTGTTTTGAGCCATTTTTGGGGTAAAAACCATAACTGAAAAAAAGGGATTAGTATGACATTAGACCTAGCGATCTGATTTATTTGAAGGACAGAGATAGCATGAAACAATTCGGCAAATTGGAGTCTGAACCCTGAAGACGCGTCACGTACTGAGATAGACTGGGGCTCTAAAATTTGTTTAAGGAATGTATGAAAGATAATGTATGCAGCCATCGATCGGCCTTCAAAACTTTGTGACTTCAGCCTTTCGTCTGGGAAATATAAAGTTTTAACTCAGTTTCAATCAACTTCAATCAGCAGCAGGGAAATATTATCAAATTAATCAGAGAAATCGTTAAAAATTATCAAGAACAAGCATTTTGAAACCTGTCGGTAAAAATAATCTTTTCCAAAGGCGAGAAATTTATGTTTTTTATTATAAAGCTGCAAAATCAGCTTTGAATTGAATTACAATTAAATTATAGCTTAACGACTTCTTTCGAACAGTCTGGCAACTCTTTTCGATGTATTTTGTATCGGAGCAGAGTTGCTCTCAATAATTATCTACGCCTGGAAACGTCATCCACGTATTTCTTTCTGGTAAAATTTGCAAGTTTCAACATCCAACCTCGAAAAAAGGTAAGTCCTTTGGAGAAATTGTAATTCTTTTTGTCGACTCATCATCTCTACACAAGGTTAAGCAACTGGAATCATAATGGAGCCTCAACCGAGCGCAACTTGTGACGGCTGCGACCTTTGGGGCAACGGAATAACTGGCTGCCGCTACAAGTGCCTGCAGTGCGCCGACTTTGATTTGTGTCAGAGCTGCTATGACGCCAAGGTGGTGAGTGGGCGGCACAAGTCGGAGCATCCAATGCAGTGCCTGCTGGACGAGGATGCTAAGAAGCTGTACTTTGCCGGGGAGCCAATTCCCTATCTGAACGCCGATAGCTTCACTTGCCCCATCTGCGGCACCATGGGCCATTCGTACCACGAACTTGTGAAGCATGTGGTTGCCCAGCACAACGACGACCGCAGCGACGCCATCTGTCCACTGTGCGTGGCCGTGCCCATGGCCCCACCCGACCGCTTGCTCAAAATTTCGCAGCACTTTCGCCGTCAGCATCGCGAGCCGTCGAACATTCGCGATGCCGTTGCCAGTGCAGGGGAGGAGTCGGGAACATCCGACATTGCCGATCGCTTCTCCCGTCTCTCTTTAGGAGAGGCTGCGCGCTCCAGACTGCCAATACGTCATCTGCTCGTCCGTGTCACTCGGCCATCCAATCGCTTGCCCCCCGATACTAGCAGCGAGGAGGACTAAGCTGCCTAAGCAAATCTGTTCCGCTAAAGATGTGGAGGATCTACACCTACAGAGATCAACGCACACCGCCTACACACACTATGCATATCTGTACGGATCCACTGTCTCCACGCACACATTAATACACATACACGAACACTAAATATGCATACAAATGAACGCCGCAACTATGCTGGAAAGTTTTCGTTCTATTTGAATGCATTTTCTTGGACATTTTTGCTGCTACACACATACACATACACATACACATACCAGGAGATACACTGCCACAAAAGAACTTACAAAATTCATGTTCAGACATTCAGTAATCAATTGTATCCCATGAAAATTACTGCACTACGCTACAGATGCTTTGTACTTCCCATGAGGGCTTGCGTTAGTGGTAGTAAAAATCCTAAATAATGATCGAAAACTTTCGTTTTAGATATGTATTTTTTTTTTTTTTTTTTTACCCAATGTATCGGAGCACTACGACACCTACGCACACAAACAGACATAAATTTTGTTAAATACAAGAAATAAATTACAGAAAAAAACACACTAAAACCAGAAAATGTAACCATTTGAAGGATCTTTCATTTGGCAGGATCTTTCAAGTCAAAAGATAGAGATATTTCTGGCACTTTTGCTAAAAGCGAACAAAGAGACAAATAAAAAGAGAATGTAGCGGCCTTTACATATATTTAATATTATCATTAAATTTGAAATATATTGTAAAATGTACATACAAATAAAACAGCCACACGGGCACGACAACCAACGTCCCGACTGGTTTCAATTATCCTTGGTATGTGTTTTCCTGGAAAAGCATCAAGGAATATAGCCGATCACTATGCAAACCGATCTAAAAGTGCCTTGGCTTGGCTCTTCAAAAACTTCACAACTTCAAAACTTTCCAAGATAAAGACTCTGTCCGATATCCAGTTGCAATTAAAGATTCATTTTCGAATTTCTTTTCCTTCTGCCTGAGTGGAGCAGAGGCAGACCTTCCCTGCGGCCCGCTCAAACTAATTACGTAAGTAGGCACCGCAACCGGGTAAGTTTCCTCTTAACCCCTGCCACTTTCCAGTTTCCACTTTCCGTTTTCCTCTGGGTTCCGTTCCCCTGGTAAGACCCGGTGTCTGTAAGTATGCCCTGTCCTTGGTGCTGGAGTAGGCCCTATTGCTTTTGGTGTAATCGGCTTAGAGGTGGAAACCTTTTGTCATTATAAAAGGATTTCGAGCTTGACAAAATTTCCATTTGTAGCGAGTTTCCCTCGTTCTCCGTACATTCATGTAGGAGGAAGACGGAAGAGGGAAAGGTGAGCCCACTGGGCGCCAGTGGGTGCCAGTGGGTGCCAGTGGGTGCCAGTCGGTGCCACTGGGGGCAGCCTCTGCTTAGTTAACTTTTAGCTGGCAGCCTCTTTGATTTTGCGTTCGTTCGTTCAAAGAAATTAAGATTCAAAAACCGATATTTACCCCCACCGTCTGGCACAACTTTCTCCGTCAATCTCTCCTCAACAAGGTCCAATTATAGGGCCAAACAAGCAGATGCGTTGAGGGTGAGGGAAGGTTGCTCAGGAAGCCTGAGGTAAACACCGATGCGAAGCCCCGTGTGGCAGACAAAACATTTTCAGATAAATTGCCAATCGAACTAGATAAAATGAGCTGTGTAAATAGTGGAAAGACGCAGATAGGCCGTCGTAGGCATCGTACCATACCCAGCCCCAGCCCCAGCCCCAATCGGGGACACCATCGTCCCCCACTCCATCGTCCGGTTAAAACCAAACAGGAGCCTGGCAAATGCTTCAGCATCTTCCCCCCATCTCTATTCTACTCGATGGGGCTTTGATCTGTGGGCTGCATGCGTGGCTGATGGTTGACAATAGATAGACATCGACACAAACATCGACATGGACACAGCTGGTATGGTATGGTATGGTATGGTATGGTATCCGTATCCTGACTCGCCCCAATGTGGTGGTGGGTCGTTATTGCTAATGAGTATTTCGAGGCAGGAGCGGCTCATGTTCGCTGCAAGTTTTCTGCAGAACGAAAGAGGTAATGGCTTTCATCCTTCAGCCTTTAGGCTGTCCAATGCACACGGCTCACAAGGCACGTGAGTCACGAGCAGATCCAAATGGATACAAATTAGCTTCAAAAGATATTGACCTAAGATTTGGGGCTAACTTCAGATAAAAGTTGAATTACTTTCGCAGCTTATAGATCATTGATTCGGATCAAATCGTCCAGCCTTTAGGATTGTGAGTGCCTAGGACCCTTACATCTTTTTCTAAATCAGCTCTTTTATGTCTATCCCTCTATCCTTAAGCTGAACGACAACTATCTATATCAATATTTTGTCCAGCTCAGTTGCTGTAATTTTCCAAGTTATTTCCAATTAAGATCACAGCCTAATTTCCGCTTGAATCCAAGCCCGATATCGACTTTTTCCTGGTCGTTGATAAAGTGTTTTCCCATGGGCTTATTCAGAATAATATATTCCCCCATCTTCTGTAAGTTGCAATAGCCTCCCGTAAGCCCAATCACGATCGCCTCACCTCACGCTCGCATCTCGAGTGGCCGCCGGCTTAGGCCGCTTGGCAGCTGCCGCTCCGCCAGAATTGGCTCGGCTCCATTTCGGGGCAACTCAATGGCGCTGACTGACTGGCTGGCTGGCTGGCTGGCTAGCTGGCCCACACGCATACAAATGACAATAAAAGCGCACGACTTTGGTTTTTGGATTTTGCGACTTTGCCATCGAAAATGTTGGCCCACGCGCCATGCCATCTACCATCCCATGTCACCATACCATGAAAGCTCTCTTGGCTTCGCATGCCCATGCCCATCCCCGTGCCCATTCCCATTCACATCCAGGCAGTGCGCCGCGCCGCTCCCCTCGTGAGATGCCACAGTTTCCAGCTGAAAGTTGAACCACAATCGACATCGCTGGCCGCCACACGCTTGCACAATTTTTAATCATTGCTTCGGCATTCAGGGCTGGTCCTTCTGGTCCTACTCCCTCCTGCAGCCCTTAGCCCTCTCCCGGGTTTCTGCTCTTGGGGCATTGTTGTGCCTGCTGCGACGCAACGCCGACCAGGACGAGGACGAGGAAGAGTATGGGGATAAGGATGAGGACACATAAACATGCATGACAGCAGGCGGGTAACGACTCAGCGGGAATATGGCCAGGAGCTGGCCCGGGCCGAGGGCCGAGGACAGAGGAACAGTGCCCGGGGATCGAGTGTGGGCAGAGAGCTCGGCTGGAGCTCTTTGGGTTTATTGTTCAGGCTTTTGGTCCTTTATCTTGTTTCTAACTCATTGGATCGCAAAAACGGTCTCGTGTTCACCTTAATTGGGGTAAACATAAGTTCTGATTGCCCCATCAGGGTTGCCCCAACAAAGGAGAAAGGGAGATGGTATCACAAAAACAGCAAAAAAAAAACGAAAGAGTTGCCAGCAGCGACATTTTTCTTACGGTATCCCCCAGTATCCTCCGTTATCTGGGAATCCTACATCGGTCGGCTAACCCCCTATCCCGGTCGAAGGAATTTCCCATCGTTGTTTGCCGTAAACTCAAGTCAAAAGCCAAAGTCAAAGACGACGTCGAACATATCCAATTAGAAGGCTACAAGACAGGGCAACAAAGGGGTTTTTTCCCATGGAAAATGACGGGGCAGGCGATGGTCTATGGGTTCGAAGAGAGAGAGAGAGAGAGAGAGAGCGAGATCACAGAGGCGAGATAGAAATTGTTGAACGTGTAATTTTTATTTATTGCATACAATTCTCTTAGAACAAATGACAGAAAAAAAGTAAGGGTTCACCTCTTTTCCTCTCTCCCTTCAATTTTTTAGACCCATAATATATTCAACTCGGTGCCGTCCTTCGTCGTTCGTTCTCCGTCAACACCCATCCACAATGAAAATTAAATGTTCAACTTCGGCCACAGAAAAGGTTCCAAACATGAAAAAATTGTTGCCAACTTTTGAATTGAAAAAGCGTTTAGACATTGTTCGCTTTTGTGTACGTGTGTGTCTGTTCCGTGTCTGTCTTTTATGTGTGCGTGGTGGAGGGGAGATGGTGGCTTCCACCGACTAAATGATGGGGAAACTATAAAAATTTCCATAACAATAATAAAGGCAAAGGAAAAAGAGAAAGAGAGATAGAGAACCCCAACCGAAACCCCAGAACGAAAGACATTTATTCATTTCAGTTTTAGAAATTAGCATAAAAGCAAAAGCTCACATAAGGGATGCTGTCTGCCTCTCCCCCCTTCACACATAGGGAGTGTATGTGTGTATGTGTGAGGAGGGGTCTGTGCTGAGCCTTGGGTCTTGGGGTGCTGGGGTCTTGGGGGTCTTGTGGGTTTTTGGCACAATCAAAGCTTGTAAGAGCGGTGCGCTTCTCGTTTGATAAGCGTGAAAAACGTGCAAATTTTAATAAAACCAAATGAGCCGTAAAATCATACAAAAAATAAGGATGAAGGATAACAACAACAACAGTAATAATCGGTGGAGGCAGGGAGGCGGAGCGTGGGTGGAAGGAAGAGGTGGATAATGAAGCCTCCAAAATATATGCCACAGTTTCTGTTTGCTAATGTGGAAACTTTGTCATTACCCGGAGTCAGGAGAGGCTGCTGGTTCCCTTCACCCACTCAGGTAATCAAGGAGCGAAAGAATGAGAGAGAGCTAATAAGCGGAAATGTATGTGATGATTTTTATTTCAGCTCAAAATTGCTGCAACTCTGGTCGAGGAACCACTTACAAAATCGAAAAATATATATTAAAGATAAACCGAAATAAGCCCGCCATTGGGCCATTGTATGCACGTATTTAAGCCGTTCAGAGAACGCTTAGATGGTCAATACCAGGAGCCGCTTACAGTGCAGCCTCAAGAAGATATTCGCCCCGGAATCGGTTCAAACGATTCAAGAGCCCTGTTAGCCAAGCAATTTGGCCTCGAAAGTATGCTATGAAATCTGTTATTTGCCAAATGAAGGGATATAAGCCGGGGCTATAGCTTACCCCAGATCGTTTGGGACTTGGGGCTTGAGCAAATAAGACCATTCCGCCGCAGCCAAACGGAAACCTCAACCTCAACCTCAACAGGGCCTCGCCCAAAGAGCTATCCAACCTGAGCCCGAAAGCCCGAGAACACGAGAGCCTCGGAATCCTCTGTCATACCTATCTGAATGAATTTCTGCAGGGGGGTCCTTGGGGGCAGATTGAAGAAGCAATAACAAGAGAAAGGCGAAAAATGACCAACACATTTTGCGCCTCAATAAAACTGTCAACATTATAAAGCGCCACTTAAGAAATGAACAAAAGCCAGCCACAAAGACATGGCCAAAAAGGTGTGCGACAGGGAGGAAGGAGAGGACGGCAAGAGAGAGCTGGAGAGCGGAAAGGGGGGAG